TCCTCCTACTTACAGAGAAACTTGCGTACCTTAATTAGATTATAAGGCCATTCATAGAAAGATATGATTTACAGTTTTAGTGGAGTTGCCCAAATACCAGATTATAACTGACTTTGTCACTTAGAATGTTAAAAGCCATCTTGGATGAGAAAGATCCACTAGGGTGTTTGTGATGACTTTATTGCTAAGGATTTCTCCATCTCTATTATTGGACAAAGACAAGTTAATATATTTCAATTTATTGTTTATTTTCTTTTTTGTGCATTATTCTAGAAATAATTTTCTTGTACAGAAGAAATATGATAGTCTTCATAAATTTGATGATAGAATATATAAAAAAACAATTCACAAATACTAATTTTTATGTAGATGGCAGCATTAAGCTAGGGTAATGGAATAATTTTTATTTTTTTACAGTTTTAAAAATTTTCAATTTTCAAAATTATAATCCTATATGGATCAATTTGCTTTCCAACCAACTCTTCAATATTGATTATTTTAAATAATTTAATTTTACTTTGAATTAAATTATTTAAATTATAGTCTTCATGTGCATAACCTGTGTTGGAAATTGCTAGCAAAAATTCATTTATGTGACAAAAATGTGACTTAAGGTGTTGGTTCTAACTAGAGTCAGGAAAATGGGCCGAGTCTATCGAGTTAGCTTGTTTAAACCAGTATAATAGTAAGGTTGGGCTTGTAAATATGACCCCAACCCGTTTAAGCTTGTTTAATTTAGGGTTTGAAAAGGCTGGCCCTACAGGGCTAAGAGCCAACCCATTTAAGCCCGTATGTGCATTTTTTTTTAATAAATTTTCATGACTTTGACTCTTCTTGGACTTGAAAAAAAAAACTAAATTAAATCTTACTTCACATTATATGTCAGCCCATATCTACTGAAGATGGAAGGCTAAAAAAAGGGAAAATAGCAATGAAGGATCGCTGATCAAAATTTATATTAGTCAAGGATCACTTATTATCAAAATTCAAGTGGATACTTGTAGATTTGAGTTAGTCTTTATCAACAAGTATTCATTCAAGTTTTAATAACGATTCATTCTAAATTTACAATAGTTCATTCTAGCGTATTTTTCATTTAGGTTTTGAAAACAACTGGTCTTTGATTGATATAAATTTCATGCAAAAATCCTTGGTTGCTATTTTCTAAAAAAAAACACCCTAAATCCCATGATTCATCTAGATTCATGATAATAATTTATTCAGTTCAACATTTACTCTACTTTCTTCAATATGCTTTCCTTCTTTTTTGCCGCTATAAGTTGTCCTTACTCTTCAGCAAGTCATTGCATTGTTACCCTCGTCCCTATCATTGCAACTCACAAGTCATCCTTGCTTCTGCTTTTGCTCACTTTTCAATTGTCCCTGTTGATAACTCCGACAGTGCTCCCTCCCAAGAACCAAGTCTTAACAGTGCTCGACTAGTTGATGCTTGTTTTCATCAGTCTCCCAAGTCTTCCTTCACTCATCATGCTTGCGCATTTGTGACTCTTGAGCTAAGTTCTATCTGATGCACACATCATGCTTGTGCTTTTTGTTTTCTTCGGTCTCTTTGTTTCATATCCCAATCCCTCAATCTCGTCTAATCTCGATAGAGTGTTTGTTGGCTTAGCCTATCCATTACTTATTGCCTTGCTATTATTTCATTTATGTTTCTAGTTCATTTATATGTTATTTAATTAGTTTTTTCATAGCTTTCTTAATTGAGTATTATATTGAAATGAAGTAATTTTTTGTTTGATTAAAAATTTTAAAAAACAACATAAATAGTTAAAAGGGCCTAGAGCTCGCTATGTCAATGGCCGTGCTTTGTACATTAAGGTCTTAAAAAAAATTCAAACTTAAATGGGTAGGCCTTTTTAGGCCCGAGTCCGTCAAAGGCCGACCCTATAGGGTTGGGCTCGCTCATTTTTCCAATTCTAATTCTAACTCTGGAGAATTTCATTGGTGGGTAACTTTTCTTGTTTAAAATACATGAGACTTTTAACTTTACAAGAATTAAGAGGACTAGTTAAAAGTGATTTGAGTCATTAAAATAATAAAAAAGTATCACTACTTTTAAGAATACTTTCTAATTAAAATCAATATATTTTAATTATTTTTAATTTCTTCATTATATAATCTCTCAATAATATACTAACTATATCCTAAATTATAAAACACTTTTGAAAGAGATTTAACATTTCAAAATATAAGGCATTTTAACAAAATAAGGTTTTATTAATAATACTTTTTCAATATTACACTTTTCATTTAATTCTTTTTTTTAATATTCTTTGATAAATAGAGTATTAAATAAAATGCAATCTTAGAAGTTTATATTTTTATTTAAAAATAATATTGTAAAGTGTATTTAATGAGTTATATTGATATGTGTAATTTTATTTAAAATTATTTTATAAATTGAAATGAAAGAACTGATTAATAAGAATATTTGCCAAAAAATTTAATGCTACTAATGTTTTAAAGTATTATATATTTTAAACCAACACTTATTGGTAGAAAATATCTTATATTTTGAATGACAAAAAATAAGTAGTTTTGTAAATCTTGAGACATATTACCTCTGATTATTATTAAAAAATACTTTTAATCACCTTAACAAATTGAATGAGCGGTGATTAAGTCATTAATTATACTTGAAAAGTGAATAAATCTTCAATTTTACCTTATTTAAATGAATTTATTTTGAAATTTTCATTATATTATCTCTTATAATTAATGAATTTAAATAGAAATAATATTGAAAAAATATAATCAATACTTTATAAGTGTATCATATTAAGGAGAATCAATTTCTTCTAGAAATATAATAAAAATTGAATGAAGCCTGATTCACATTTGTTTTCTGTTCGTTAGAAAATCTAAGTTTTTACAGTTGAGGCCAAAACCTTAAATATACTCTTCCCTCACTGGCCAATATATATATATATATATATATATATATATATATAAAATCTTCCCTGAAAAGGCCAAAAAAAAAAAGAGCAATAATAATAAAGCCCCGACACTTGAAATTTATAACAGTTAGGTTTTTAATATATTTTTTTAAAAAACAAGTTATAAATATTAATTTAAACTGTTGTAAATAAAAATCTCAACTATAAATTGAAAGTTATATTTAAAATTTAAATGTTTTATTTGTAGTTAAAATATTAAATTTATAATTATCTGAATCAATATTTACAATATATTTTTTTAAAAATTTTGTCAAAAATTTAATTATCATAAATTTATTATTTCAATATTTTAATGTAATTAAAAAAGAATTATATTCGCTCTTTTAGTAAATCCATTTTTTTTATAACAAATGATAGGATATTATCAATTCAAGCTAGGTCAAGTTGGGATTAAAAGAAAATTTCTTTTCAAAAAATAAATAAGTTTCGAATAATTTAAAGATTTTATGTACAAGATATTTATTTTATAAATATTTTACCAAAATAAAATATTGGGCTGATTTTTTCAAAGTAAAAAATATTTTAGATGATTTAAATATTTTTTTTAAAAAAATTATTTTGTAGGGATTTAGTTTAAAAGGTAGACATCATTTATGTTTAGTTAATATAATAAAAAATTATCATTACTTAGATATTTTTAAATTTTATGATATTTTTTAATTTTATTAGATAAAAATAATTTACTATTTAATTATTTTAAAATTTTATAATATTTTCGTGTTTCTACATTTTTAAAGCATTCTTTCATATTTACCATATCAGATTATTTGTAAAATCTATTTAAAATATTTTTTTGAAATAATCAGAAATATGTTTTTTTTTCATTCTAATGATTTTCAAAATTTTAAAAAAAATAATAAAAAACTTATAAAATATATTTTTTCAAAAAACCATAGTATGTGTTTTTTCATATTATAAGCTGAACAAATGGCTTACTATTTATATTTTGTTATAATAATAAAAAATATTATCATTTAATTATTTTTTAATTTATGATATCTTTCTTAATTTTTATTTTATAAAAATAATTTATTATTTAATTATTTTAAATTTTTATGATATCTTTATGAGTCCTTATTTTTAAAATATTTTTTATCATTTATTTGATTATTTTTATAAATTACGTAAAATAATTTTTAAAATATTAGATATATATTTTTCATATTATGATTATTTTTAAAATTTAAACAAATATAACAAAAATTTATAAAATAGATTGTTTTTTGAAATGATTTTTTTCATAAAAAACTGAAACAAACAGGTCATAATTTTCCTTCTTATTTAAATTTGACAACGTTCTTGACAGGAGTATATTGGGTCTAGAGTCAGGAATAAAGATTGGGTTTAGAGATTTAGTTTAAATAAGGATTTGAATTTTAAAAATAATTTTTTAAAGTAATTTAGTTTGAGAGCTTGACCCTGATAAGCCTGTAAAATTTTTTTTGGCCTAGATGACCCTTCAATTCTGTTATATTATTATCATTATTTTCTTTAGTAGAATACGTGTTTGAAATCAATGACTTACTCACTTAATTTTATACGCATTATATTATTATTAATTTTAATTTATTTTAAAATTAATTTAATATAATTTAATAAATATCAGTATATAATATAAAATTTATAATATTTTTTATTTTTTTATAATTATTATATTTGTATATTATAAAAAAAGAACTGTTTTTTAATTAAGGTTTAAAATTTTATTATTAAACTTTTAAATATGTGTTATTTAATTTTTAAAAAATTATAAGAATTTTAATTTTTTTAATTTTTAATATTTAATTTTATTTTAAATTTTTTATTTTTAAAAAAAAAACTTGCGGAACCAACCCTAAATTCTTCATATTAGTCCAGCTGAAAAAAATAAAATAAAAATTAAAAAATTAAGCTTTAGAGCTTACGGAGGCCGGACCCGCCTCTATTTTTAACTTTAGTTGGGCCCGATATCATCTGGCGCTGCTTTCGTTGGTTGGTTAAATTAATTTTAAACTTTCCTTTTTTTTTTTTTATAGAAAAGAAAGGAAAAACAATTCTAAGCTTTCCTGTTCCGAAGTTCAAAGTTCGAAGTCAATTCGGAAATCATAGCCTCACGGATTCAAGCTTCGAAGTCCCCGAAGACTAATCAAAGACCCGGAGGAAAACGAGGAATTAAGAATTGAAGAAATTCTCATATCTTTTTGAAGTTTCAACTCTCATGCCGTCCATGGATTTCGCAGTTTTTTCATCCAAGTGAGTGTTTGATACGTTCCTATCGTGCTCGGTCCAATTCGCCGCGTTAACCCTTGGGACAAGATAAGCTCGCAATTAGTGCCCATCGTCTTACTATTTGGGGAATGGTATAAAAGAAACATGTTCACGAAGATATGCCATGAGATCTCTCTCCTATTTTTCTGTCAGTAATTGGGAAAATACCTTCAATTCGTTAATTAGGAGAACTCGCGGTGCAAGGGCATTTTAATATGAGTAGCAATGGCCAATCTTCCCGTAACAATCAAAACATCAGAGACTTAATCTGCAACGCTGGTGCTGGCGCCTCAGCTGGTAAGGGTTTCTTTAGCTCCCCCCACCCCAACCCACCTTTTTTTTTAAATATATAAAATTGAGTTAAGTTGTTTTGGGCTTTTGTTAATTTCTGTATTCTAATTTATAGTTATAATTTCTTTTGTAATTTCTATTAATTCACTAGCGTCTGAGTTTTTGGGGAAAGACTAGTTCTTGTGCTTTGGCACTAGTTTAATTTGTATTAATTTCTGTATTCTTGTTATGGTTATGGCTTATTGCTAGAATACGTGACAGTGTAAGACATGCTTCTGGATGATTAACTTGGTAGCATTGCAGGGGCAATAGCGGCTACATTTGTGTGCCCATTGGATGTCATCAAGACTAGGCTACAAGTTCATGGTCTTCCCCCTGAGCAGAAGGGTATGCTGATTCCCCCCCCCCCCCTAGAAGTTGGTTCACTTTGCTATCAGAACGGGTTTCAGATTTTCTAGTTAATTATTGGAGTTAAATTTGGACAGCTAATAAGCCTGAGAAGTAGTACCAGAAATCAGAATTTAGAACATCAATGGTTGGCATAAGTTTGTGAATATGATACATAAACTTTATAAAGAAGAAACATAGGATTACGTAATCAACTTTTGGCAGAAGATTGTATATTCTAAATTTGATTCTTATAAATCATTTAATGCTATGTTCTGTGTCAGCATTGCAATTTCAATTTTAATGTTTTCTGTCATACATCTTTTGACTGATAGTTTCCTACTAACTTCTGTTATTCACTCAGGTAGTGTTATTATCACAAGTTTGCGGAATATAGCAAGGACTGAAGGTTTCAGGGGACTGTACCGTGGCCTTTCACCAACAATATTAGCATTACTTCCAAACTGGGCGGTGAGCCTCTCCTCTTGTTTCCTCTATCTAAATCTTTATGCTAAGATTAACAATCATGATGGCAAACATGCTAGGTTCTGTAAGCTGGGTGATTGAGATGTATTCCTTTTTTTGTCTTGCTTCAGCATCAATTTGTTTTCCTATCTTATGTCAAATAAACTAAAAGAAGCATAGCCAGGATCCCAGTTCCTACTATTTGGGTTTATGCAGGAGGCATTTAGAACAACCTATTATTATCATATTAATTCCCATTTGCCACTTAGTCCTCCCTAAACCTACATTCTTCACCAACCTATATTGCTCACTATCTCCAGCTACTGAATTCTTGGTTTTTCTCTTTTCACTTTCCACTTTCCATTTGTGCATATGCGAGTAGTAGTGGAACCTCATGCTAATTTCTGTCTCTTTTACTGCTTAACTATGGAAGGATGATCAGGTTTTTGCTTGTTTGTGAGAAGATTGTCAATTAAAAGCAACCTCTTTGACCACACACGTGTTTACTTGTTTATAAATAAGTGTGTGTAACTTTATATTGATCTTATATAATTAATGTTGACTGTAATTGAAAATGATTTCATATTTGTTCTCTCTACGGCTACTTTTATGATTTGACGTTTACTATCTAAAACCTATTGAGGTTTGAATTTAAAGCAACCTTTTTGGATCATTGGTTGGAACATTAGGGAGAAATTTCTAGGGAGAATGACCAGTAAGGACCTTGTAAGAACATTAATGTCAAATTAAGAACTGTAGTATTGAAACATGGTAGAAGGAGTACTGAAATTTGGGAACGTCAGCATTGAAGAATCCTAATTTGACATTAATATTCCTATAAGGTCCTTATTTGTCATTCTCCCAAATTTCTAATATCAGAAAATGAATAATCGTGCTAATATTGTTCAGTCACATCTTTGTAATTGCCAATCATACTTCTTTCAGTGACAACTTTACTTCAATTGTAGGTTTACTTCACAGTTTATGAGCAACTAAAAGGCTTGCTTCGTTCACATGGTAAAATATTATTTGAATGTTGTGTACTTGATATATCATATGGTTTCTTGATTACTTAAAGCTTGGAAGTATCAAAACAGTATACTTGATTTTCTCCCCTAATTTTCATTGTGTATAAGCCTGAATTAAAATTTGCTTTATTGACCTGATTTTCGATAACATTATTCATCGGGAAACTTGTAACAGATGGTTGCCACCAACTCACAACTGGTGAAAATATGATAGCTGCTGCTGGTGCTGGAGCCGCCACAGCATTTTCAACAAACCCATTGTGGGTTGTTAAGACCAGACTCCAAGTAAGTTGATTTTCAATCTTGCAGTCATGAATTTGAATTTTATACAGTTATAACTGTTTTGTATCAACTTAATTTTGTTTACCTTAGCTATATATATGTGAAGGCATGTTTGATTAGGCTTGGAAATTTGCTCCCTTTTGTGCTTTAATCTGCATCCGTTGGCTGCCTCTACTTGTTTTGAAGCAAATATTAAAAAATTGTCCGTCCTTTGGTACATTTATTATTTATTATTTGATAAAGGCTCTTGTTCCTAGTCTCAGAAGCAGCCCTATTTTCATCCTGAATGTGTTCAAGTCTAGTGGTAGCCCCTTATTTATCAACATTCATATTGCGCTATTGTTGGGTCCTCTGACATAGACATGAACTATTGAAGCATTCTTTTTTACTACAGTTTATTTTTGTAAACTGAAATCTCAAGTTACATCAAACGATAAGTTGCAATATTTACCTACTCTCATTCAGCTAATATTATCCACTTGTCCTGAAGGTTCCTTAAATTGCATGCCATATATGGTTTTCTCTTTTTTCTTTGTTATCTTGGACAATAATTGATGTGTTTATCTGTAACTAATAGACGCAGGGAATGAGGCCAGATGTTGTTCCTTACAAAAGTGTTTTTTCTGCTCTGACAAGGATTACCCGTGAGGAAGGCATACGAGGACTGTACAGGTTAGTTTCTATTCACATTTACCTTAGTAGTTTTTGGGAACTTTGCTACGAAATTAATGGGGTAAAAGTTATATATATTTGTCATTCTACATAACTTGCACGTGTGATAGTTTGTATTTGCCTGGCTTATGTGCCATTTAATCAAAGTAAATAAAATAACAACATAGAAAATATGATTTTTTTTTCTTTTGTTTAAATGGTAGATTAAATGTAATAATTAATTTTGTTTCTCTCTTAATATTTGCTTTTTTTTATATATATTATGGATAAGTTATATACAAAAATTTCCTGAATCTTGAATCATGTACAAATAACTTTTTGACTTTTAAAACTTAATGAGGGCCCTGCTAAATTTTTAGGTTTGTGCAGATAAACCCCTTCTGTTAATTGTTATGTTTCATTTACAGAGCATAATATGTTCTTGATCATATATTCCCTTAAACTTTTTTTGTGTGTGCAGATAACCTCCTCAAACTTTAAGTTATATGTGGATAACCATCTACACTTTCATGTGAAAATAAACCTTTTGCCATATTATATTATTTTAGTGAAATAACAAACAAATTAATGGTAGGGGAGTTATTTACATAAATGTGAAAATTTATGGGGCTCATTGTAAAGTTTTAAAGATTAGGGACACGACCCAAAGTTTTCAAAGAAGTGTTATGTGCAATTTAGCCTTATATTATAATGACCTAAACTATCTCACTAAGTAGTATGCAACTTCATCAAATATTCAAGGAAAGTGAAATGTAACATGTTTGCTTTGCTTTTCACTAAAAGGAGGAAAGAATTAAGAAGTCTAGTTTAATCAGGCATAGCCTTTTGGGCAAGATCTGATGGATCATTCAGCACAAAAAGTGTGCGGTGAGATTATGAAGTACATAATATGAAGTGATTTCTGTTTTTAGATAAAAATATGAACTGAACTGGGTGTCAATCAGTTTAGGAAAATATTAAAAAAGTGTCTGCTTTTGCTTTCTATCACCCTGACACTAAATCACCAAGTACACTAAAACTAAGCAGCCCTGCGGATGGAAAAGGCTGAGTAGAATGAACCCAGTGATTCAATTCGAGAAAGAGAAATATATAATTGGAGCTTGATTGCCCTGACTTTGATCTTGCTTAGAATCATGAGTTTATTTTGTATTTGAGTATTAATGTTTTGAGTTAAATAGTTGCAAGAAGATAAATTTTTGCCTTTTAGCAACTGAGCTAATCCTTTTTGACATTTGTGATAATATATTTATTTTTCGTGCTATGCAGCGGCATCTTGCCGTCACTGGCAGGCATAAGTCATGTTGCAATACAATTCCCATCATATGAAAAGATCAAGTCATACATGGCGAAGAAGGGTAAGTATGATATCTGTAAATTATTTTATTTATTTACTTGTCCCTGGCATAAATAGATGCTTTCCTGTTTCCTTTGCTTATCTAATGAAGATTTCAAATATTTCAGAGAACACTACAGTCGACAAGCTAAGTCCGGGAAATGTTGCCATTGCATCTTCAATTTCCAAAGTAACTGCCTCTGTAATGACTTATCCTCATGAGGTATGTCTTACCATCTCTGGCTGGTTTACCATTGGAAGAAAATGCTAGATGTTTATCAGCATCGCGTCTTCAACTTCGAAGGTCTTCATTAACCCTTAGAATTTGTGTTTCCAGGTGATACGATCCAGGCTACAGGAGCAAGGACATGCCAAAAATACCAAGTTCCGTTATGCAGGGGTTGTTGATTGTACTAAGAAGGTGTTCTACAAGGAAGGCTTTCCCGGCTTTTATCGCGGTTGTGCTACCAATCTATTAAGGACAACTCCATCGGCTGTCATTACATTCACCAGTTATGAGATGATATACAGGTTCTTCCATCGTTTTGTGCCTCAGGACAATGTGTATCCACAAGGCTATCCTAAATCTAATGATCTTAACAAGCCCAAGCCAGAAGACGGTGATATGAAGTTTAAAAAAGGCCCTATGGTATGATTCTAGCTGCTAAGTATGGGGACTGGGGTCCATCTCTAACCTCATGGGGGAAGCTTGGGCTTAAGTGGAATCTGCCATGGCTGAGATCATGGCCACGTCAAAGTCTTGTGCCTTCAATGGGGGACTCAAGTTTCATGGCTACAACTATACCCAGAATGGCGGTAATCACCATCTCAATCTGATCAGTTCTGGGAAATAAAAAACCGGCTAACTTGATGTTGATACTGGAAGTTATCTGTCACCTCTCTCTCTCTCTCTGGGCTTGTAAGTGTAACTTAGTGGCTTGATTTTTCTTTTCTATGATACAAATTCTTTGATTTAACATAAATGGTGAAGTATGTTTAGCATTACCCCCACGAAAGATGAACGGGGTTTTGTGAGGCGAGTATAGGGAAATTTTCTTGAGTAGAATAAAGTCATATATTCTGTAACCGATGAGATTTCTATTTATGTCCTCTTTATGTTGCAAAGTGGAAAACAATTTTGGTTCCTTTCTTTAGTGTTCCTTTGTATGACAAATGTATTAGATGGAACTGCTTTAATATTTTTCGTTACTATTGTTTAGTGTTTCTCTTTCCAAGTTATTTAAGTAAACATTTGAGTTTTGAGTATTAGACTATTATAAGTTTTGAGTATTTCATATGGGGAGAGTTACATATAAATTTTACATTACACATTTAAATATCACAAAGTTCATTGACTACTTAGCAAAAGAAAATAACAATTTAATTGTCAATTGTCATTTTTTTTTATTAAGTTGTCAATGGAACTTGTGATATTTAAATGTGTTATGAGAATTTTAAAGTAACTTTTCCTTCTATGTTTAGGCAATTTATCTGTATTTTCAACTTTTATTATCATGAATTTGTACCAAACTTGGAATGATATTACTATTTGGAGAATAAATCATTCTCACTTATAGTGCTAGGATTGCAGTCAACTTTTATTTAAAATTTAAAAAATTAATCTTTTAGTCTTTTAATTTTTAATTCACTTGTAACTCAGTCTCTTAATTATGATTTATTGTGACTCAGTTCCTCAATCATGACTTATTTATAACTCAATCCCTTAACTTTTAAATCATTTATAATTGAGTCCCTCAACTTTTATTAATTCTCTTTTTTCATGTTAGCTTAGATCTCATATCAAAGAGCAACATGAGGGTATTTTATAACAGTACATGAGTATTTTTTTTATTTCTCTTATTTGATAAGGAATCATTTTTAAAAAAATTTAAAAAAAGGATTGAATTATAAGTGAATCAAAAGTTGAGGAACTGAGTCGTAGCGAATTATAGTTAAGGAATTGAATTGCAAAGAATTATAATTGAAGAATTGAGTTACAAGTGAGTTGAAAGTTGAAGGATTAAAAGATTAATTTTTCTAAAATTAATTTACATATCTTTTATTAAAAGTTTTTAAACTTCAAATTTTGTAAATAATGCCAAATATTTAGCGCTGCACGGGTAAAATGAATTAGCATGAGTGTTACTTTGATATCTTAATTTAGAGATAGATTTTATTTTAGTCTTTAAATTTTATTAAATTTCTAGTTATTCCTTTAACTTTCAAGATATCCTTAAAAATTTCCTAGTTCTTGACACTGTTAATATTCAATGTTATTACTATTATTATATTTTAATTAGTGTAATAAAAATAATTAACATACGCAAGATTAATCTTTGGATCTTTCAGATTTCAACTTAATTTCTGAATTTTTGACTAGCATAAAACCTAGTCCCTAATCTTTCCATAATTTATATTTTTGTTTTTGTTATCCATAACTTAATTAGAATTAGTATCCTACACAACAAAATAAGATGATGAATAATTAGGTGGCAAATAAATAAATAAAACAATTTATCATGGGCTTGTGAATGGGCAGTAAATCAAGAGGGTTTATGTTCTTGGCTGAAGAAGTAAATCTACGTCGTGGCATTGAGTCTTCTAAATTCGTGAATCGCGTGTTTGAAGATCATGGCTGACATGTTCATAATTCTATTCGGCACTTATAGGAATGCTAAGTCATAATTTATTTGCAGTGTAGGATGTTGATTAAGTTGAGTTATCCATGAGACGAACAAAAATATAAATACTCATAGTAAAAAATATTGATGGCACAAAAGAGGTCCTGGTTTAAAGTTTAAACTCAGCACTGACATGTTTGTATGTTTGTGTGTATGCATGGACACGTGTGTTTCTCTTTCTTATTGCGAAGAGCTAACTTGGGATAAATTTTTTATTTTTAAAAAAGGTTGACTATTAGGTAAGTCAAAAGATCAAGGATTAAGTGGTGCTAAATTGTACTTGAAAGCTTGAGTTTTAAAGAAGTTAAAATTTGAAGGACCAAAATATTAATTTTTCTTAATTGATCTCAGTATATGTTTTCCAAGCTGCTTTATACATTTGCGGGAGTAGAAAAAAGAAGGGAAAAATAATATTGGAATTTGAAACATTAAAGAACTGGACCTTAATGTTCCGGGCATGTTCTTTAATTTTATTTTCTAGTTTTTTCATCCTTTTCTATAATTGGGCTACTTTCATTCTGGGCTTGTTTCCCAATTTAAGAAAAAAAGAAGAATTGGAAGAACCTATAATGGTGACTTGGCTTGCATTCTTTGGGCAGCAAGTTTTTGTTAAATTCAATTTTCTGAAAGTTGATTTTGGGCTCTGTTTTGTATTTAAATATTTTGGGAAGATTTTTTCGTAATTTCCAGAAATCATTATTTGGTTAACAGGGCTGTGGTTTTCAATACCATTATGGCACATAAGTGTTTTGTTTGACCAAATATTGTAATTTTTTTGGTAGACATTGTAATTATTTAATATACCATGTAACTTATTTGTTTGGCCTTTATGCATTGTTTCAAGAACCCAAGAAATCAAATGGTTGAACTGGCTGGTTGGACTGTCAACTGTTATGGCTTTGTTTGAACTAAAAACTAATTTTCATAGTTAAACCAGGTTGGATTGAAGTTAAGTTGTCATTAAGTAAAAAATGAAACAGTTTTCGGGAAACTAGATGGGTCTAAACCTAATACAAAAAGAAAAACGTTAACTTGCAGGTCCTTAAAGTTTTTTTTTTTTCCCAGTTTTGAATTAGGTTATTGTAATTTATTTTATTTTAATCAAATTCTCATAATTTAATCATTAGATTTATTAATCTGAGGCCTGGAATTAAAATCCTCAATTTTTTTTCTTTTAAAACAATGAAATTAAGATATACTATATTTTTATTAAAAAATTATATAAATTTATAATTAATTACATTATTTTTATAACTCAAAATTTATAAAATTAATTTATGCATTCTAATCATTTTTTATAGATATAGAATTTTTAAAAATTAATAAAAATGTAAACAATAAAACTTCAGTTGAAGAATGCATCAAATTGCTCTTACTTGGAAAAGAATCAAGTCAATTTTCCCAGAAAGTTTGTGTCAATGCGTAGAACGAAGAAAAGTTGTTGTAATGGAGTTATTTCAAGGAATCAAGTGATTTTTGACGACGACGTAATTATATTTGAGGTAATGTTAAATATTAAATGTAGACAATTCTATCAATAGGAATTCAAAGTTTGTTATGTTATAAGAGACTAATTTTTTCTGCTATATTTAACTTATCCCTAAAATGATTGATTGAATTACAGCTTGTTTGGACACAGCGTTATAATCATCAATTATATGTACTGAAACCATAGTTTTAACAAGAATTACCCAAACACTCCCATTTTCTTATAATCAATTATTTTTACATCAACCATGTTTTGAAATAAGTTGGGAATAGTAGCTCATTGGAATCGATTTTACCTCCCACACATAGCCCTCCAACAAATTGTATAAGCCTCTATTTTGCATGTAATTGGGTGTTCCACTAGAGGGTCTCGTGGGTTTCAACTTTTAGTGCCTCTCGCTTCAGCTTTCATATTATTATTTTTCTTTGGCAAAAATCTTTCACATTATTATTACTGATGGGTCTTGACTACTTTTATTTTACACATATTGTTTAGTCAGTAGATTCACAAATTTATATTATTATTATTATTATTATAATTGACATTAGCCTATATTTATTTATAATAAATATAATTTTATCAATATTGACACATGAAATTGTACTATTAATATAATTTAAATTTATATAATTATTCAGATGTATATGGTGAATAATACATTTTACTTCATAAATAAATTTTAATAAATTTAATAATATTATATACAACTTTATTAATAAATTAATTTTGAAAAGTAATGTTCTTTACGATAATTTAAATTGATTCTGAATAAATCATCTAAATATTTTTAATTATATAAAAATTAATTTTTTAAAAAATAACATCTAAACAGATTGTATTATAATATAATCAATTATAATTAAAATTAATTATATTAATTAATTATTTTATAATCAATTAAACTCAACTAAAATTTAAATGAACCCTTAGACAAAATATTAGATTTTTTGTTGTTGGGAGTATCCACATTAATATTAGAAATATATATCAATGCATGGTTGGCGTAATTGGATCAATAAAATAAAACATCGAAGCTCTGTTAAAAGAAAAAAAAAAAACAATTAGTGATATATCTATGATTATTCCTTCTAGTCTTCTATCATACAGGAATCATGGATCTCGAGGCTGTAAGAACAGTACTGTTTTGGGCCTACACTTATTCCTATAATGATGGGTAAGACCAAATTAAAGTGATTGTTTTGTGCATATTCTTATAAATCACATTTGTCTTTATCTTTAACCCTTTTTTTCTTTTTTGACACTGTTGATTGATTGTTCTTGCTTTACCATCACATATTCTTCCATGTCAATTCCAACATGTCCCACAGTTAACTTTTTATTCTTTATTTTATTCTCCTCAAAAGAATAATATAAACTATTATTAAAAGAATGTCTCTTCCTTGATCCTATGTGTACTTTAATCATTAAGAAATTGGAAGATATAAGCTCATTTGATTAAATAACACACTTCTCTCTAATGATTTAATCATTGAAGGTTTAGTTATATGTATTTGTGGGCCCTTTTATTTTCTTCCTATCCTCACTTTACTATTTCTTTTATTCAAGTTTTATTGTATATTGTGATCTGTTTTAGATTAGATCCATTATTTGTGAGTATATTAGGTGATTGAACTTTTTGGACTAGTCAAAACTGAATTTTCCTTGCTTTCCAATTTCCATTTCTTTAAACCTTCTCGTGATTCATGTGGGAAAAAAACAAAACAAAAACAAAAAGGATTTTATACTTGTAACAATTTATAATTCGGTGATTAATAGTAATTGATCTTGTTGTTACATTTGATAAATATATTCAATTAATCATGCTACTTAAAAATAGCTGAAATTAGTATATTGGGCCTAACTAAACACTAAATATTTATTAACACATCGTTGTAAATTATGTAGTTGTCAATTTAAATCATATATTTTAGTGAAAAAAATATAACAATTGAATTTCATACTAAAAAACAAAGACGAAAATTGTTCATATCAATATCCATGTTAATATAAAATATAAATATATAAAAAATTGAAATATTCAAAAATATATTGTTTATTTTACCACTTCATAGACCATGTCCACCTAATTTATATATCTAGCATCTCATATTGAATTTTAAATGTAAATTTTTCCCAATAAATTTACAACTTTCGAATACTTTATATATAATGTCATGCAATGCAATCTTTTTGTGTTTCTTTTCATAACATCTTATAACATCCAAAGTAATGTCTCCATATACCTTTGGTCTTTGTATAATATCATTAATAGATACATCTAAATATTGCTGGACTTACCAAGAAATTAAGAAGAAAAAGGAAAAAAAAATCTAGGCTAATTATCATATTAGAATAAGGATAACACCACAGTAAATAGTTTAAAGTTCTAATTAACAGAGAACAATACATTTGGATTCGATTAGCTTAATAAATTCTAGATGGCATTAAACAGAGAAATGTAGGTGGAATTAAAAAAAAAAGAGATGAGAAAATACGATTATTATTTTTTAATTACTCTGGAATTGTGACAAGTGCAGGGCGCCAAGATTTCCTCAATAACGACCGGTAACGGAAACCCGTCCAAACCGGTTTCGGTGACCCAAGTCCGTCAACCGAACCGACAACGGAACGGAACCCTCTAGATGGAAGCTTTTCGCTCACGCTGATTACTCTCTCGCCTTCTTCTTCGCTTGGAAGCGACGACCCGAACAAGTCTTTCAGTGAGTTCCTCCTCATCAAATCCTTCCCTTTTCCCTCCTCCTCCTCGGATGCATCCAACATATGCTTCAGCTGAAGGATCGTCTCTCGCCGGCGAGGTGATCGGCTACTGGTGCTCCTGCAGAGCAGCATCCGCAGGCTGGATTTCCGGCGTTGCAGCTGAACTAGCGGGCTAGTCCTAGGGCTTCGTGTGGGGCTCTGAACGACTCCGCATTGCATCGCGAGGAGCTTGAATTTCTGCAGCGTCGCCATCTCAGAGTGAGTCTTCTCTCTCTCTCTCTCTCTCCCCCTTCTTCCCTCCCTCCTTCCCTCCCTGGCTCCCTGCCTCTGTGACTGTGGCTCTCAAATTTATTGGGAGACTTTAAATTTCAATGTGTGTGGTATTGATAATTATAGAGTGACAATGGGAATTGATTACTTCGAGGAGGGAAAATGGGATCTGTTTTGGGAATGGTTACATCTTTGAATTATTTTCTTCCGGCCTGATTTTGATTGGTTTTGCTTCCTTTATTTCTTTCTGTCTTCAACATTTCAAAGAAAGAAAAGAGATTCAGAAGCTTGACTGGCCAAAAAGAAAAAGCGAAGAACAGTAGCATGGTACATTTCTCAATGTGGGTTTATTACTTTATTTAGTTGGAGTATGTCCTTTTAATTCTTGTAAACTATATTTAACCAGTGCGATGCTTGAATATTTGTTAGATTTTTTAGAAGTTTAACTAAGTGACTCTCCTTATTTTTTATAAAAAAAAAATTAGTTGAATTCTTTTCACCTATTTTATAAGAAATAAATATTTTTTTGTCTTACTATTTATTAAAAAATGTTATACTCTCATTAATAAATAACTAATCTACTGATTAATTATTAAACAACTAATCACTTTTATCATTAGCATGATAAATAAATTGGTATTTTTGAAAATATATTATATCTCTAATATATTTATAACTTCTACCAATTATTTTAAAAAATACGAGAATTTCAATATTAAGATTATATGTTTTGATATTAATCTAATAAGTAATACTCCCTCCATTAAAAAAATGTAAGATATTTTTTGAGGGGTTGAATATTTAAAAATATAAAATATTTTTATTTTTTTATGGTGTAATTATTGCTTTTTTTTAAAGTGTTTTTATTGAATAAATCACGTTATAGTTATTTTAGGATGAAACACTCTATTATATAAAGATAAATATAAAAAGATAGGGTTAGTTTAACTATAAAAAATTATTTTATTGACGGGAGAGATTAATTAAAAATGTCTTATATTTTTTAATGAAGGGACTAACAATTTGTTATTTTTACTATGTAATAATTTGTTATTATCGTGCAAAAATTAAAAGCAAATTAAAAAATTGCATAAATTGAAAATATTCTGATATGATATTATAAAATATAATATAAAAATATTTTTTCAAGTGTCTGTGGTCATACCGTCATCCGTCATGATAGGTTTTTGTTTTGTTTTTTTTTTAATCAATACCGTCATAATAGTTAGGTGTCTTGAATTGTTTTATGCAAAAAATAAAAAATATCATATATATTTTTTAAAATTATTGGGCCCACTTTTACTATCATTTCATTGTTGAATAAACAGTAAAATTTTTTTCTATTTCACTATGTATAAGATTAGAACTTGGCTTGGCCTCAAATATAAAAATAAAAGATAATGTGAAATTTCACATGAAAGAATTTTGAAACCAATGAACTAAGAAGTTGAAAAATCAGGGCAAGCCGGGGGAAAAAAAAACGCACTTAAAGTAGCTTCTAAAAAGACGGTTAATAGGTAAAGAAACACTTAGAGTTAAGATTTAAATTTAAAAATAAAATAATAAGCCAAATTGTCTAAGAAAAACATTTTAAAACTAAAAATAAATAAGCCTTTCATGCATGTTAGCGCATGCAGTTGTCATAGCTTTTTAGTTAAAAGAATAAATTGCAATGCGGTTTGGTGAACATGGAGCAAAATTCACCAGGATATCATCAAAGCTAATTAATGCAAACAAACGAATAAGGCAAAACCGAAATCACTTTTACATTTACATAACTTGAGGCTTGAGCCGTGGACATAACAAGATGTGCCTTGTAATGTAATCATCCTCCAAACAATTGTGGGAGTGAATGAGAGAGAGTGATATTCCAATTCGCTTATTCAGCCTAATGATGAATGATGGTAAAGTGCTACCATTCTTTCTAAAAATTCATGTGACATAATCACATAATGGAGCGGCCAATATCAAATATTAACATCTGGAATTGGGCTATGTAATCAATATAAAATATGAGAAGTACAAGGAGTCACGTTGTTCACATATTATGAATTGTATGATTTATCCTAATATCCGTACAAAAACATTGGTCTAATTTAGTTATTCTTAATATACACTAAATTTTTTAGGTGTTATAGGTTTGATAACTCATTTATCAAAGTGTTTGATAAAGGTGAAGTCCCTTCATTTTCTTCAATGATCCAACTTCTTCCAATCTTGTAAGGTTGATGGAGTTGTAAACGTACTCGTGTCAAATGTCAGCTTCTTGAATCTCTAGAGGCTCAAGCTTGTCCTTGTTACTTGCAATTTTCTGTAGCTCGTCCAGAACTTTATACATGGAAGGTCTTAGTTCCTTTTCCCTTTGCAAACACTGAAAAGCCAATTCTGCCACTGAAATTATCATCCTCTTATATTCGTTATCTGACTCAAAACCAAGGGTGGGATCTACTACCTCAGTAAACTCTCTTCTTTGAACCTTCTGGATGGCTAGGTTTGCCAACTTAATCTCATCCTCTTTCCTTGTTTGGTCAACAGCTGGCAAAGATGATATGAGCTCAATGAGTACAACTCCAAAGCTATAAACATCACTCTTGTAAGTGAGCTGGTGGCTTTCTAGATATTCAGGGTCAATATAACCCATGGTTCCTAATGGAGCTGTGGAGACATGGGAAACATCGTTGGAGAACAGCCTTGATATCCCAAAGTCTGCAACTTTGACACAAAAATTGCTATCAAGGAGAATGTTGCAGGTTTTGACATCACGGTGAATGATGTCAGAAGCATGGAGATAGGTCAATGCAGTGGCAGTCTCTTTGGCAATTTTCATTCGTCGTGGCCAAGGCAGTGAACCAGGCTTTGCTAGATCACCATGGAGATGACTAGCAACTGTACCATTTGGAATATATTCATATGCCAATAATAGTCCGCGGCTTTGAGGTGAAGTGCATCCATAGAGAGACACAAGATTTTTGTGGCGTAGGCGTGTGAAGGCTTGAATTTCATTCATGAACTGCTTGACACGCTTACTATGATGCTTGTGGTCATGTAGACGCTTGACAGCAACTTCCTTTCCATCACCGAGTTTTCCTGGTATTTGAACATCAAATGCACAAGTTATTCATAAAGACATGAGATTAACACAACCGTTCTTCTTCCTTTTTCAGAAATTACCTTGTTCCCAGAAGTTATGTTGGTGAATAATATTTCATAGGAGAAGGATGCATCATTTATTTTTCATTTTCCTTGGATATTACATTTGCAACATCTTGTTAGTTAGATGAGGCTATGGTTACTAGCAACCACTGAGTATAAAATGTTCTGCATAAGTCATCGCAACCAAGCATGAGAAAAATCATCTTTGAAAAGATGAATTCTCGGAAAATTTGAAGCTATCGTTACCCACCCTACTTGTAGGCTGAAGTAGTAACATTTAGATTTTTTTTTTAATAAAAAACAAAAAGTAGCAACATTTAGATTAAATAATTGATATTGCATACTGAAGAATTCGTCATTTGAAAAACGTTGGTGGGACATTTTTGACAAAAACAGAGGTTTCTTTTCTTTTGAGTTACATGTAGCGTAAGATCTGGAGTAGGAGAGTACAGAAAAGACAGAAGTCTCTATCACTAACCATAGTAAACGGTTCCACAGCCTCCGCGTCCAAGTACTTGGGATTGATCAAAATTGTTTGTTGCCTCTTCCAGCTCCTCATAGCTGAAGATAGAGACCCCAACATCAACAGTAACACATTCTGAGGTTGTACTTGGACGTATGTCAAAATAAACGGTTCTTGATTGGTTTAGGAAACCTGAACAATTGAATCGTCGCACCTTTACTAGTACAATAATAAACAAGATAATTACAATGATGCCTGCGGTTCCATTAGCTAAACCTGTAAGAGAATAACCTTTGAAGTTTTAATAACGGCCAGAGGCACAATTAATTATAGCTAATTGAATACTTGGAATGTAATGGAAATGCAGTACCTATTGCTATAGACCTGGAATCGATTTTCTTGACCCCTGTCATCAACAAGGTGAAGAACAACGAATCAGATTTCAAAATACCGGAACACAAGTGAAGTTATCTGAATGATTAAGTGGCCGCATCTGTCATAAATCAAAATGCTTACCATCCTTTGTACATTTTCCATCAGGCAGGCACTGCCCTTTTCTATAATAAAGACAATCAATACAAGACTGAGATAGATGTACTTGTATGAAGATTTCTTCAGATATGGTTGCCAGGGTCGATGTATTAGGAGGTTGCTGTTCAAATGGAAGATGGACCAGAGAACATTCACTTGAAGAGTCAGGCCACTGGATACCTTCGTCGGGAGTATAGTAGAGGTGTTCGAGATTACAGTGATATGGGGAGTCGTAATTGAACACCTTGTAGGTGTTGTTGTCGAGAAGGTGTTCGCATCTCAACAGGTTAATGGCGTTTGAGAAAGAGAAAAACAACGTAAGAGACTCCGGAGGAATCGGGGCTTCGCCTTCAGTGTACATGACCTTGCATTGATCGTCAAGAAAGAGCTTTTCAAGCTCACTGCCACGAGCCATGATTTGATAATCCAAGTCCTTGTACAAGATTTTTTCAATTTGGAACTCTCCTCTGTCTCCAAATTTGTAATCCCACCATGTTCTGGCTCCCAGTTGGACTAGTTTCCCTTTGTCTGGATCATCGCAACCCATTACAGGTAGTAAGCCACATTCTGTGTTGTTTGTGGTGGTGAAGGGGAAGTAAAGTTTCCCTATATCTCCACACTCAAAAAACTCTGGACACGCAACTGAGAGAGGAAGCAGAAAACAACACAGACAAAGGAAGCGAAGCAGAGAATCGGCAGCCATAAAAAGTTTCAAATTTTTCTGCTGCAAAAAAAAAAAAAAAATTGTGGATTTTCACAAGACACGATCTCTTCAGTTTACTCAAGTTTCTGTGTTTATGTTATTTATAAAGGTCAAATGAATCAGTGCGCTCACTACGCGGGTTGACTTGGACGAAGACTCAGAAGAGGTGGAGATGACAACTAGGGACCTGCAAGAACATTAATAATGATAACAGACCGAAAATTATTAAAATTTTAATATAAAGGTTATCGTTCTTACTTGTTATTAAAAAATATCAATGCTCAATCAGAAAATCTACTAACTATATTCGGTATCATTTATAACATCAATTGAGAATTTATAAAAGTTAGTTGAAAATCTTAATTTTTATTATTAATATATAGATAAATCATTTGAAAAATCAAGTAAATATACTTAAAAGTTATTTGTAAAGTTAGTTAAAAATTTATGAGAATCAATTATAAATTGTAAGTCAATTATTTGTGATTTTTTGTTTTTAATATATAGATAAATCATTTAGGAAATCTATTGAATATATTTTAGATTATTTATAACATTAATTGAAAATTTTTAAAAGTCAATTGTGAATTGCATGTTATTCACTTGCGATTTTTTTGCTATCATTTGAGAAATCAACAAAAGTAGTTAAATATCTATATAACGTTAGTTGAGAATTTATCACCGTGAATTTTAAGTTAATCAATAAAAATAATTTATTATAAATAAGTATCATGTTCTATTATTAAAATTTCAATAACTTAGAATTTGAAATTGTTATTAATGTATCTCTAATTGTTATATTCCTAAGAAGACTTGGAAAAATGGCCTGAAAAAAAGGGTAAGGGGGTAATTCTGTTGAATATACTGCTTATGTCCAAGGTCGCTTCGCTCCAGCTGGAAGTTTGCACAACGCCAAGAAGACCAGGTCTCAAAGTTTCCGCCCTGCTCCGATCATCATGTTTCACACACTATGAAGTTTCAACCATAAAAAGTCAGAGGTCTTGAAAGAAGAAACTGGGTAGCTTACCAGGCTGAGCACAGGGCTGTAGGAGCCGCAAGGCAATTAAGACAATTGCCTAGGGCTCCAAAAAAATTCATGGGATGTATTTGTGTAGACTTATAATAAACGTTAAATGAAAAAATAAAGCCCCAGTTTTTCTTCCTATTGAAAAATAAAAAACTTTTCATATTCTGAAAATAATATTAAGTTTTTAGGTTGGCTCCAATCTAATCATTAGTCGTCCTTAATTTTTATTAAATCATTATCTCAAACTTGATGGAAAAGTAAAATTGAAAGCGTCAAAGCAATAAAGTTTCAAACACCATAGATAAGACATGCTTCGATTCAATTATTAAAATCAAGCGACGATATCAAAATAAAAAGTGAAGCAATGTGTTTAGCTACTTATGAGATTGAAAATTTTGAGTTTTTATTAGGAATGAATATTTAATATGATATACTGTTTGCTATAAATTCTATTAGTGAGATCCTTCAATCCATAGATATGCACATAGATATTGGTATAAATAATTTAAAAGGTCTTATTACTTATTTAAAGAAATATAGAGAAAATGGTTTTGCATCTGCTTTGGAATTTACAAAAAAAATAAAAAGACCATTGAAATGAATATAAATCTTAATTTTTGTGAAAAATGTACAAGTCATAAGAAAAAACCTTTTGATGAAAATATGAGAGATTGAATCTTACATTCAGCTGAAGACTCTTTTCGTATTGAATATTTTTTACACATTTTAGATCAATTAATTTTTTTTAGTGGGAGTCGATTTGAATAATTTTTAGAATATGAAATTATTTTTGGTTTTTTATTTGAATTCAACAAATTTAAAACTTTGGATGATGATGAATTGAATAAATTTTGTATTAATATTAAAAAGTTCTTAAGTTTTAATGACAATTTTGATAATGATGTTTTTGATTTATTTTTAAAATTAAAAGTTTTGAGAGAAATAATAACAGAAGAAATTAACACACCAATTAAAATATTAAACTATATCAAAAGATTATATACTTTTCTAAATGTATGTATTACTATAGAATATTATTGACAATATCTATAACAGTTGCTATTACAAGAAGAAGTTTTTTAAAATTAAAATTACTTAAATCCTATTTGAGATCAAGTATGTTACAAATAGATTGAATGGACTAGCCTTATTATTTATTGAGAGTGAAATGTTAGAATTACTCAATTATAAAATTTTGTTATCTAATTTTGTAGCTCAAAAGATTAGAAAAGTAATATAAGGATCGATAATTTATTACATATTATGTTTCTTTACTCATTTTGTTTCAAAATTCCTTGACACGGCCGTGGTTGAACAATTCCAAATCCTCCATTTTCAAGTTTTGAGAAAATAGAGACCATGAACAACAAATTTTCATAGAAGTGCATTTGCATTTAGAGGAGTCCAGTTGTTTTAAATATAAAATATTTTTAATTAATGCACTCCCGCTAAAAGAAACTATGCAATTGAGATTTTATTTTGTTTAACTTAATCCTTCTTTAAATACATGGGAAAAGAATCAAGTTAATGATAAAAGGGAGGAGGTAAGTAATTTTAATATACTCTTATGGATATTATATATAAAAAAAAGACATTAATTGTTCTTAGAAATCCGCTAAATGTCTTGTGTACTAAAACATTGACTTTTCAAAACACATCTTGTATTAGAAACGGAGGAAATATGTGTGTGCGCATTAGCGTGACACAAAAATGTGATTATGTTCTAGCAAAAAACAAAAAACAAAAACGGATTATGTGTAAATGTGTATGAGATCAATATTTCATTTTTATATTTATGCTTATTTACTTTTCTTCTTATCTCTCTTCAAAAACACCATGTCCATTTATTTTTAGTTAGAGCTAATAATATAAAATAATTTGTGAATTATGAGTTTGGCGAGATGAGTTGGCATAACTCATATCCTATGTGGGTTGTAATTCTCCCACATAACTTGCAACAGGTTGGCGGACCAACCTCCTGATAAAAAAGTATTTTTTAATAATTTTTTAAATTTTAAAAATTACAAATTTATTTCTTTTTATTATGTTTTACATTAGAAAAAATTATATATTTTTTTTGAAAACTAATTATCCAAATAACAATAAAAGTCCTTCTAATCAAGTTATATTTATATCACTACTTAAATATAAACTAATTAAATTTTGTGCTTTAGTTTTTTGACTAATCAATAATATACATATATGAATTAATAAAAATACTTTGTCTATCCCCTTTTTTTTTCATCCTATTTTGATATTTTTGTTACAAAATTGATGTCCCCACCTAAACGTTCGGATCTCTGTATTTGTTTTTCCCCCTTTTATGTTCAAATTAAGATGATAATATAATATATATTTAACACTTCATAAACATGTTTAATTTTTTAAATAAAAATGATAATCTAAATAAGCTTTTATATAAATGAAGCAAAGTATAATAAAATGTTCTATTCAATCTTATTTTGATCACATTCAAATTATATTATATCACCACTTAAATATATGAGTGGTGTGTTTTAATGTTTTCTATCATAATTTAAAATAGAATTAAATAAATGTAAAAGTGTCAAGTACTTAGACTGTAATTCCATGTATACTTGCTCTAAATACTTTACTTTAAATTCAACTTTATTTGTTTATTTTCTATCTATTTTTCTTAAAAAATATAAGTAGGCTAACCCACCAACCTGTGGATTAGTCTGCTATAGGTTTAAGTTATGTGGTGTAGGCCAAAATCGTTTTGCATTTAATTGACCCATTGTTTCTAACCCAACATGCCACATTTTTGTGGGTTGGCAGGTTGAGCTCGTGTATTATTAGCTCTATTTTTAGTGAATATAAAGATCCAGGCTAATAAATTAGTTTGCTTCATGTCAGTGGAATGGCATCTGATTTAGTAAGGCAGAAAGTTTCTCCCACCACAGAGCTGATTGATTATTTGGTTCCCTTTTCAAGCTTAAAAGCTTAAATGGCCAATGTGGATCAACTGAAAGATGCCAAGAATGGCAGTAAAAGAAAAATGAAAAAATTTCTCTCATAGTAGAATACTAAAATCAATTAGTTAACAAAATGAAAAATCAGTGCATACCAGACCCAAGAGTTGCACACTTGCACTTACAACTTCTTTTAGTTATTTTTAATATTCACTAACATTTTTAGGCATTATAGGTTTGATAAAGTTGAAGTCCCTTTATCTTCTTCAATGATCCAACCTCTTCCAATCTTGTAAGGTTGATGGAGTTGTAGGTGTACTTGTGTCCAATTTTAGCTTCTTGAATCTCTAGAGGCTCAAGCTTATCCTCGTTACTTGCAATTTTCTGCAGCTCATCCAAAACTTTATACATGGAAGGTCTTAGTTCCTTTTCCCTCTGCAAACACTGAAAAGCCAATTCTGCTGCTGAAATTATCATCTCCTATGTTCGTTATCTGACTCAAAACCAAGCTTGGGATCTACTAGCTCAGTGAACTCTCTTCTTCGAACCTTCTGTATGGCTAAGTTTACCAACTTAATCTCATCCACTTTCCTTGCTTGGCCAACAGATGGCATGGATGACATCAGCTCAATGAGTACAACTCCAAAGCTGTAAACATCACTCTTATAAGTGAGTTGGAGGCTTTCTAGATATTCAGGGTCAATATAACCCATGGTTCCTAATGGAGCTGTGGAGATATGGGAAACATCGTTAGAGAACAGCCTTGATATCCCAAAGTCTGCAACTTTGACACAAAAATTGCTATCAAGGAGAATGTTGCAGGTTTTGACATCACGGTGAATGATGTCGGAAGCATGGAGATAGGTTAATGCAATGGCAGTTTCTTTGGCAAATTTCATTCGTTGTGGCCATGGCAGTGAACCAGGCTTTGCTAGATCACCATGGAGATGACTAGCAACTGTACCATTTGGAATATATTCATATGCCAATAATAGTCTGTGGCTCTGAGTCTGAGGTGAAGTGCATCCATAAAGAGACAAGATTTTTGTGGCGAAGGCATGTGAAGGCTTGAATTTCATTCATGAATTGCCTAACTCTTGCTATGGTGCTTGTGGTCATGCAGATGCTTGACAGCAACTTCCCTTCCATCACCGAGTTTTACCGGTGAACGTCAATTGCCTAAGTTATTCATAAAGACATGAGATTAACACAACCGTTCATCTTGCTTTTGTTAGAAATTACTTGTTTCCAGAAGTTATGTTGGTGAATATTATTTCATTGGAAAATGATACATTATTTATTATTTATTGTTCTTGGATGTTGCATTTGCAGCATCATTTTACTTAAAATCACAAGCAAGTTGGTTAAAAAAAATCATCATAACCAAGCATAAGAAAAATAATCTTTGAAGAGGTGAATTCTAGGGACATTCGAAGCCATCGTTACCCTGCGTTGTAGACTAAAGTAGTAACATTTAGATTAAACAATTGATATTGCATGCTGACGAATTCATCATTTGAAAACCATTAGTGGGATATTTTTGACGAAAACAGAGGCTTTTTCTTTTGGGTTACATATAGTGTAAGATCTGGAGAGGGAGTGTAGAGAAAGGACAGAAGTCACTAACCATAGTAAACAGTTCGATAACCTCCGTGTCCAAGTACTTAGGATTGATCAGAATTGTTTGATGCCTTTTCCGACTCCTCATAGCTGAAGATAGAGACCTCGAAATCGACAGTAACACATTCTAGGGTTGTACTTGGAAATATGTCGAAATAAACGGTTCTTGATTGGTTTAGGAAACTTGAACAATTGAATCTTTGCATCTTTCCAAGTGGAATAACGAATAAGATAATTATAATGACGCCTACGCTTCCAGTGCCTACACCTGTAAGAGGATAAGCTTTGAAGTTTTTAATAACAGTTACAGACACAATTAGTATAGCTATTTGAATAACAATTTGCTTAAATGAAGGGATGATGTTGGGTTAATGTAATGAGGAAATAGTAAGACTCCTCTCTACATTTCATGATTGCTCCAGCATGTTTAGGAAGTGCATTACCTATTATTAAAGCTTTGTAATCCATGGCCTTGTGCTCTATCATCAACAGGGGAGGAACAACCACCAATCAAATTTCAAAAAGCCTAAATCTGAATGATTTTGTGGCCAAATCCAAGTGTCATAAATCAAAGTGCTCACCAATGACACTGCATTTTCCATCAGGCAGGCATTACCCTTTTCTGGAATAATGACAATAAAAACAAGACGAATAGATATACTTGTATATAGATTTCAGCAGATAAGGATATCTGGGTTGAGATTGGACATTGTTATTCAAATGGAAGCTAACATTCACTTGAAGGGTCGGGCCATTGACTATGTCCGTTGAGCACATTGTAATATTTGTTGTTGAGAGGGTGGTTGCGTCTCAAAAGGGTAATCCTATTTAAGAATGAGAAAAGACAACGTAGGAGACTCTGCAGGAACAGGGAATTCGTAGTCCAAGTCAATGCAGGGATCGACATCTCAGAGGTTCTTAAACTCACTTTAATTATCGATGATTTGATATTCATGGTAATCCTTCTAGTTGATTTTTTCAATTCGGAAAGGTTTGTTTCTAAATTGGACCATTTTTGGTGCACTTGAATCACCACAGCCCGTTATGGTTAGTAACTCACATGGTAAGTTTGTTATGGTGTTGGTGAAGGGGAAGTGAATCTCCTCAAGAACTTCACAGAGAAAAGACTCTAGACACGCAACTGAGGAAGGAAGCAGAAAACAACAGATAAAAAGAAAACAAAGCAGAGAGTGGGAAGCCATGCTACACATCTCAGATGTGGATTTTCACAAGACACGATCTCTTTTGCTAACATAAGTACTCTTCTGTGTTGGGTTGATAATGGTCTAATGAATCTTTGCGCTCACTATATGGTGCTTGACTTAGACAACAAGTCAAAAGACTTGGAAGAATGGCCTGGAAAAAAGAGTAGGGAGAACTTTTAAAAATATCTCAGTGTTTATCATTAGGTCAAAAAGTATAATTAAATTTTAGATCTTTCAATTATCATGGAGCAATCATCAGGCATTATCTACACTGTGATAGGGTTCTCTGAAGCTAAGGATCCTTGCTTCGCCACTTCGAACAGGGGATCACTACAAGGAAATTTGGATTATTGAGATCCCTTTTCAGGCTCAAAGGCTTAAATGGTTAATGTGGATTAATTGAAAGATGCCAAAAATAAAAGTAATAGAAAGGGTAAAGGTGTATTTTTTGCTCTTGAACTATTTTCCAAGAGGCACCCAATATTTTAAGCTATTTGTTAGAGTAATTTTACTTTTAAAGTAATTAAAATGGAGTATTTTTACCCTTACTATTAAAATCTCTAACGGATAACATTGGAGTTTCAATTAGCATTTTTAAATTGTCAATGTTGGGAGTTTGATGGCATAGGAAAACATATTTCGTTTTAATTATTTTAAGGACAAAATTATTTTTACCAATAATTTAGAATATTAGGTCCTTCTGGAAGAATATTTTAAAAGCAAAAATATACCTTCACAAGAAAAGTGAAAAAAAATTCTCTCATGAAAGAATACTAAAATTAGTTAATTAGTTAACAAAAAAGTCAGTGCGCTCCAAGCCAAAGAGTCGCACTTCAACTACTAAAAGAAAACAGGTGTACAAGGCAACAAACCACTCATTCTTCTTTTTCTCAAGTGAAGATGATGATATAAGCAACTTGAACTTGTATTCATAAACCAAGCAAAACAATTCCTATTTCCCTACTTCAAAGCTGTGTATTTGACAACGAATGAATAAACAAAAAAAGAAATTTACTTTATTGTATATAGACAATCCTTCAGCCATTATCATGTTAGGGACGTTGCTTGTAACAAAACATATGAATGAGCTCAAGGACAGATCAGAGATTCACTCAACCTCAACGGAGGACTATTGCTGACAAAATTGTATCATTCTTTCTGGAAACTCATAGGTTAAACTCAAGTAAAGATAATCAAGCGTAAACAATTGAATTAAGCTCCTTAATTATGTACTGACATTAAGGTACAGTTAAACTACTTTTCCAATTGTGATCATACTGTATGGGAGGGCGTTGTGGTTTCAAGTTCTTTAGAGTACCAGTTTTCTTCATAAATACCTTAGAGACAAAAATACCTTTAATATAAAGTTATATGAAGTTACTAGTGACATTGCTTTAATAAAGTCTAAAATATATACTTAGTTGTCCAGGCGAAATAGTTTAGGGATAAAAAAATATCCTTTAACCATTTTTTAATTTAGGTTTATTTGGTTGGAAAATCACATAAATCTTCTTTACTTCTTTTAAATTAGAGCTTATTATCAAAAATAAGATAAAAATTATAGTGTTAAATGCGATCGTTCTTTTGGAAAATTCTTGCAAAATAACATTGGAGCAGAAAGGTAGGTATAATAATGCTACAATAGTTTTGGTAACCCCTTTATCAAAGTGCTTGGTAAAGGTGCAGTCCCTTCAATTTGTACAATGATCCAACCTCATCTTAGTCCAGCGAGGTTGGTGAAGGAATACATGTACCAGTGTGTAATATCCCAATTCCATTATTCTCTAGAGGCTTAGGCTCATCCTTCCTACTTGCAATTTTGTGTAACTCATCCAAAACTTTATACATGGAAGGTCGCAGGTCCTTATCCCTTTGCAAACACTGAAAAGCCAATTCTGCCACTGAAATTATCATCCTCTTATATTCGTTATCTGACTCAAAACTGAGGGTGGGATCTACTAGCTCAGTAAACTCTCTTCTTTGAACCTTCTTGATGGCTAGGTTTGCCAACTTAATCTCATCCTCTTTCCTTTTCTCATCTACTGCTGGCATGGATGATATCAACTCAATGAGGACGACTCCAAAACTATAAACATCACTTTTGACAGCGAGCTTGTGGCTTTTTAGATATTCAGGGTCAATATAACCTATGGTTCCTTGGGGAGCTGTAGAGACATGGGAGACGTTGCTAGAGGACAACCTTGAAATTCCAAAGTCTGCAACTTTAACGCTGAAATTATCATCAAGGAGAATGTTGTTGGTTTTGACATCACGGTGAATGATGTCAGAAGCATGAAGATAGGTCAATGCCGTGGCAGTCTCTATGGCAATTTTCATTCGTAGTGGCCATGGCAATGAACCAGGCTTTGCTAGATCGCGATGGAGATGGCTAGCAACTGTGCCATTTGAAATATATTCATATGCTAATAATAGTCCGCAGCTGTTAGGTGAAGTGCATCCATATAGAGACACAAGATTTCTATGACGTAGGCTTGCGAAGACTTGAATTTCATTCATGAATTGTTTGACACGCTTGCTGTCTCGCTTGTGGTCATATAGGCGCTTCACAGCAACTTCCCGTCCCTGGTTGTTATCAACGCAAGGTTATTCATTAAGACATGAAATTAACACAAGTGTGCTTATTCATTTTCCTGGAATTACCTTGAACTGAAATTATGTTGGTTATAAAATATTTCATAGAAAATTTACTAGCTTATTATCTGGTATCTTATTTTCTTGCCATCTTTTTGATTATCTCAGGTAATTAATGTTTACTAGAAATCACTGAGTGAAAATAGTATTATCTATCTATGGATTATCACAACCCCTGAATAAAGGGGGGGCTTTGTTCTTAATCTATGGATTATCACAAGATTAGTAGTCGTTACACTTAAGTTGAGAAATCTAAATTAAGGAGGAGAGAATATTAAGAGGAAAAACATAATATTCTCTGCTTGCTATTTTCCTTCCACTCTTCGGGAGAGGGAGTAGAGTAGAGAATAGACAAGAGTGACAACACTTACCATAGGAAACAATTCCAAAACCTCCGCGTCCAAGTTCTTGGGATGGATCAAAATTGTTAGTTGCTTTTTCCAGCTCCTCATAGTCGAAGATAGGCACTCCAACATCAACAGTTACACATTCTGGGTTTGTACATGGATGCATGTCAAAATAAACGGTACTTGATTGGTTCACAAAACCTGAACAGCGATATCCTTGCCCCTTTACCAGTAGAATAATAAACAAGCCAATTATAGTAAGTCCTGCACTTCCGATAGCTACACCTGTAACAGGAATAAGCTTTGAAGTTTAAATAAATTAGCATAATGATACTATTGTTGAATAGCATTAAAATTAATAAAAATTAAATTTTGCATAAAGCCCAACCTATATTATCCTTCTAAGAATTAATGAATTAATCAATTGAATTAGGATTGTAAAATCATAAATAATGAAAATATTTTTTAAGACAAAATTAATTTAAAAGAAACTAAATTAAAATTAAATAAATAAATCAAGTTTAATTTGAGAAAATTACCAATCACAAGTAACACAATCAATCACAATCTAGTCACTTAAACTTAATCTTCCCCGTCTACAAAATAAACTAATTTTACTTAACTTTATTACTTTAGTTTTATTATATATTTTTTAAATTATCATTTAAGAATTAAATAAGAAATTAAGTTATAGCTTAATTGAAATCTCCCTTAACCCACAACTCAACAACTTTTCTATGTTAGCTATACTAGACACAAGGCATGAATAATCACTCAAGCCAAGTTAAATTGCTCTTATGTTATTATATCAATCGATTATAGCAAGCAACATATAAAATTTATAATATAAAAATCATGCAATAAAGTTACTCTAATCATTAATAGTAATCAAAATATAAAATTCAGAGATAGAGAGAAGAAGAGTAAATTGAAATAAAGTTAAAATAAAATATTTCCTTTTAATCAAAGTTTAGGATTATGGTTCGTGGCTGATCACATTAAAAAAAATTAATTTTTTATAAAATTAAAAATCAAACAATATAAAATAAGATGAGAAAATGAGGAGCCATGTCAAGAAAAGCTCCCTTCTCCCCTCCCGCCCAATGTCAATTCCCAGTGTTACGTTTTCTTATGCGCCGCGACCTCTCTTATGTTCAATTCACAGAATGATTTGTGCGGCCATGTGCTCCTCTCCTAAAAAGAAAATTAAAACCTAATAATTTAATGAAAATGACAAAACTACTCTAAAGAGCTCTTGATTGAAAACTATACTAAAATATACAAAATAAATATAAATAAAGTTTTAAAGATTTGATTTTAGATTTGTCCTCTAAGCTTGCCCATATCTTTTTGTAGAAAATAATCTCATCAATATCTTTTAAATTAGATTTAGAAAATTTACACAAATAAAATAAGGTTGTGTAAAGTGCAAAACTCAGACTCATGGGCGACTTCATTGAATCAATCATAGCCGATTATTGGATGCGTAAACTTTATATTTATATAAGTTCAGTAATAATAGTTAACAACACTTAGCATAAATGAAAGGATGGTGTTGATTTAATGGGAAAATAACAAGACTCCTCTCTGCTTTGCTTAAGTTCTTCAGCTTGCTTTGGAAGTGCATTACCAGTTATTAAAGCCTTGGAATCCATGCCCTTGTGCTCTGTCAGTCAACAAGGTAAACAAAAAATCAGATTTAATTTTTTTTTTGAGCAAAAAATCAGATTTAATTTCAAAAAGCAAAAATACAACCAAAGTTTTTTGAATATTTATGTGGCCAAAATCTCAAGTGTCATATGTCAAAGTGCTTAGTGCTTACCCTTGGCACTGCATTTTCCATCAGCTAGACATTGGCCTCCTCTGAAATAATGACATTCAATACAAGACTTTGATAGTCGTACTTCTATGTGGATTTCAGCAGTTAATAGTTCAAGTGGGTCTCTGGGTTTGGAGTCAAGGTCAAGAGATTGCGGATTTAGTGGAAGCTGTATAGTAGAACATGCATTTGAAGGGATAGGCTTATCGCCAGCTATGTTGAGAGGTGAAAAGAAGATGTAGTAGTCAGAACAGCTATGATGGGAGACGTTCCTGTACTCGTACGGAGTTCCGCTGCATCTCAACAGGGGAAGGTTTAGGAAGGAGAAAAACAGGGGAGGAGACTCCGGAGGAACAGGGACTTGATAGTCGAAAACACTGCAAGTTTTGGAATCCAAGAGCTCTCGAAATTTCAAATCATGAACGATGAGTTCATACTCGTGATCCTTCTGGGACATATTTCCAATTTGGAACCATCTTTTGTTTCCTAATTGGACCTCTTTATGTGAACTTGAGTTACCACAACCTCTCATGGGTAGGAAACCACATTCTGGGTTTGTTATCTTGGTGAAGGGGAAGTGAATTTCCCCAAAATCTCCGTAGAGGAAAGATTCGGGACAGGCAGATGAGAGAGGAAGGAGAAAACAAGAGATAAAGAAAAGAAAGCATATAATTGGGAGCCATAAATGGCATTGATTTTGGATCGAAGATGTGGAGATTAAGCTGTGTTCTATTAATAATGGTCCATTAATCAGAGTGCTTAGGACGCTAATTGACTTGGACATTGACCAAGGAAAGTGAGGGCCAATAAACTCGAATTGAACTTAGCTTCCTCGAAAATGCTTCAGTCTTGCAAATTCAAATTTCTTGATCTGGTGGGGTCCGATATTAATTAGTTAAGTTTTCTGGACCAACGAATATCATTTAATTAAGATGGTTTAACTGATTAGTTGGACATGTCCTGCATTGGGACCATTCCTTATGATATACTACACGGTGCAAATGTCATCCAAATGAGATTTAAATGAACCAAATCTCGTTGTTTTATTGTTGTATTTTTTTAAGTTAAAATATTATTTATTCTATAAGCTGCAAATTATATGATTGATGTTAATCCACATTTTGTAGCTTTTAAATTAAAAATTATTAAAATATAATAAAACATTAGAATATTATCATTACTATATTTTACTCCTCTTATCTTATTTATAAGTCACTTCTAACATATTTTATTAGTATCAAAAAAAATCTTAAAATTTATTAATCATGTTTTAAAATTTAATAAGTTTTTAACTTTACCCTATTAGATATACATACTTTAATAATATATTTTTTCTTTCCAACATTTAATGAAGGATAAAAGTCCTTAGGAACTAGAGGAAGTATATAGGAAAAATGACTTATAAATAGAAAAAAAATCTTTTCTCTCCGCCCTATAAATGGGACTAGAGGGAGTATATAAGAAAAATGATAATAAAATCCTCTCGAATTATATAAATGACAATCTCATCTTTTAAAATATCATAATTTCATTAAAATCCTTAGGAACTTATGTGTCAATAAATTTTAAAATAAAAGGACTATTTTATCTTTATTGAAAATAACATTCCAATAATAATTTTTGTTTAAAAAATAATAACTTTTGTCCTGTAAATCATAACAGTTGAACAAGAAATCATGACTAATTAAGTGTAATTTCTATTTCAAAATAACAAGTTTCAATCATAATTTTTGCGTAAGGAATAATAACGTTTATTTTATGAATCACAAGAGTTAAATAAGAAATTATAATTTATCAAGTATAATTTCTATTGTTGAAAAATAAGTTTTCAAAATTAATAGCCTCAATCACATTTTTTGTTTAAGAAATGACAATTTTTATTAAAAGAATTATAAAAATTGAACAAGAAATCGCAATTTGTCAATGAGGGTTAAATGATCTTTTTGATTTAAAATTTATTGATATAAATATCCTTAGGAACTTCATTAAAACTATAATATTTTGAGGGATCAAATTATTATTTATATAATTCAAGAAGATTTTATTATCATTCCCCCTTTTACATATATTAAAATAAAAAAATATTTAAAATGTAAAAATATTATAACATTAAATTTGACCATTTAGTAGAGCAAATTTCACAGAGCGCATAGCTGATTGGTTTTCTTCTTCTTTTTTTTCGTTAAAGCTTCAAAGCCACATGAGGCTATTTCAGTTTGTAAATAATAATGGTGAGGTGTAAGGTATTGATAATGGTTTTGAAGATGATAATAAAAGACTATCAGCATATATAAACCAGGCAAGATAGTTTATGTCTAGATTTCCTTATTTTCCTCTTCAAAGATGTATTTTTGAAAGCATGAAGGAAAATCCACAGAAAATCAAACAAATGCGACTGATATGACAAGGATGTTCCTTATAAATCACCATATGGGCAGTAGTACAACTAGATAAGAGACTCACTCATCATCAACTGAGGAATGATGCTGAGAAAAGTACCATTCTTTCTGGAAACTCCTTAATTATAAACAACTGAATCAAGCTCCTTAATTATGTACAGACATTAAGCAAACAACTGAATCAGTAATTGCTCTATTTCCTAAGTGAAGATGATTATATAAGCAGATTGAACACATAAATTCAATGCATATCAAAGCAGAGTAAGTTAAACAAACGAATAAACAAAACAGAAATTGAATTTTTTGTATATAGATATTCCTTCAGCCGTTGTTATGTCAGGGACGTTCCTTATACCCTATAATAAATTATCATATGAGCTTAAGGACAAGTAGATGAGAGTCACTCAACCTCAACTGAGGACTAATGCTGACAGAATTCTATCATTTCTTCTGGAAACTCGTAGGCTAAACTCAATTAAAAATAATCAAGTGTAAACAGCTGAATTAAGCTCCTTAGTTATGTATGTACTAACATTAAGGTACAGTAAAACTACTTTTCCAATTGTGATCATACTGTACGAGGAGGGTGTTGTGGCATCAAGTTCTTAAATGATCCTGCTCCATCCTTATCTACTGAGGTTGGCAGAGATGTATGAATCTCCCTGCTTGAAAAGCCAGCACCATGAAACTCGAGATCCTCAAGATCATCCTTCCCATTTTCAATTTTCTGCAGCAACTCCATTACTTCATCCATGGAAGGTCTCATCTCCCTGTCCCTTTGTAAGCACTGGAAAGCTAACTTTGCCACTGAGATTATCATCCACTTAACCTCATTATCTGACTCAAAACCAAGGGAAGGATCTACCAACTCAGTAAATGCTCTCCTTTGAATCTTCTTAATTGCCAGATTTGCCAATTTAATCTCATCCTTGTCCCTTGTGACATCGATAGCTGCCTTAGAAGATATCAGCTCAATGAGCACGACCCCAAAACTATAAACATCGCTCTTTTCAGTAAGCTGGTAGAACTGGTGATATTCTGGATCCAAATAGCCTGGGCTTCCTGCTGGAGCTGTGGAGACATGAGAGACAAACTTGGGGAACAACCTTGAAAGACCAAAGTCAGCAACCTTGACACAAAAATGGTCATCAAGTAGAAGGTTGCTGGATTTGACATCCCGGTGAATGATGTCACAAGCATGGAGATAGGACAATGCATTTGCTATCTCTATGGCAATCCTCATCCTCACAGGCCATGGCAGTGAACCAGGCTTTGCAAGATTGCCATGGAGATGACAACTAAGAGTTCCATTTGAAATGTATTCATAGACCAAAAGCAGTTCACGACTGGCCCGTGAAGTGCAGCCATAGAGTGATACAAGGTTTCTATGGCGCAAGCGTGTGAGGATCCTAACTTCATTCATGAATTGCTCCACACGTTTACAGTTGCGCTCAAATAGACGTTTGATAGCAACTTCTCGTCCATCTTTAAGCTTTCCTAGTTGTTGAAAATCAAACCAAAATTTTGTTCATCAAGATCTAAATTAACACAATCTTTCTTCTGTATTTTGCATAAATGTGTGTGGGACAATCATTCCAAAGAAACTTACTTACAAACAGTTGCGCACTTCTTTTTTCGTTTTTGATTTTACACCCTATAGTTAAGTTATTTTTGTATAGATTATAAAAAGATTTTTTCTTGATTATCTCACCAAACATATAACATATTCTTGCACATGACAGCTATGAAGAATGGAAATTTTCTACCGAAGAAACTCTGAATACAGTGGGACATTTTCTGAGGTGGCTTACCATGGTAAACAGTTCCAAAGCCTCCACTTCCAAGTTCTCTTGATTGATGAAATTTGTTTGTTGCTTCTTCAAGCTCATCATAGGAGAAGACAGGGACCTCAAAGTAGATATTTCTGCTCTCTAGGATTGCATTTGAGTGAGTAGTATCAGATTCAATGCTTCTTGACTGATTTTGTGAGCCTAAAGACTTGTATCTTCGTTTGTTCCGCAGTAGAATAACAACCAAGCCAATTATAATCACGCCAACACTTCCAATAGCTACACCTGTAGGACGAAAAACTTTGAAAATTTAATCAAATATTGGAGTATAGCACAGCCACGGTCAAAGTCAATTAAGATAAAAATTTATATATGTGGAATGTTTCCAACTGAGACCTCTCAACACATTAATATATTTGATTGCCCGGAATACTTATAGGCCCATTACTAAACAATAATACTCAGGCATAAATGAAGGGAAATGTCGAGTTAATAAGAAAAAAAATGAGTCTCTTGTCTACTTTGGGTAAATACTTCGAATGTAATGGAAAAGCAGTACCTATAACTATAGACCTGGAATCGATTTTCTTGACCCCTGTCATCAACAAGGTGAAGAACAGAAAATCAGATTACATAAAGCCGGAACACAAGTGAAGTTATCGGAATGATTAAGTGGCCACATCTGTCATAAATCAAAATGCTTACCATCCTTTGTACATTTTCCATCACGCAGGCACTGCCCTTTTCTGTAATAAAGACAATCAATACAAGACTTGGATAGATGTACTTGTATATGGATTTCTTCAGATATGGTTGCCGGGGTTGGTAGACAAGGACGTTGGTGGTCTGAAGGTCTCTGTTCAAATGGAAGATGCACCAGAGAACATTCACTCCAAGGTTGGTCAGGCCACTGGATACCTTCGTCGGGAGGATAGTAGAGGTTGTTGAGATTACAGTGATATGGGGAGTCGTAATTGAACACCTTGTAGGTGTTGTTGTCGCGAAGGTGTTCGCATCTGAGCAGGTAAACGGCATTTAAGAAAGAGAAAAACAACGGAGGTGACTCCCCAGGATTAGGGGCTTCGTCTTCGATGTACATGAACTCGCAATGATCGTGATCCAAGAGCTTTTTAAACTCACTGCCACGAACGATGATTTCATAATCCAAGTCCTTCTGCAAGATTCTTTCAATTTGGAACTCTCCTGTGTGTCCAAATTTGTCATCCCAGAATGTTCGGCTTCCCAGCTTGACTTTTATCCCTTTCTCTGGATCATCGCAACCCATTACAGGTAGTAAGCCACATTCTGAGTTGTTTGTGGTGGTGAAGGGAAAGTAAAGTTTCCCTTTATCTCCGCACTCAAAAAACTCTGGACACGCAACTGAGAGAGGAAGCAGAAAACAACACAGACAAAGGAAGCGAAGCAGAGAATCGGCAGCCACAAAAAGTTCCATATTTTTCTGCTGCTACAAAAAAAAATGTGGATATTCACAAGACACGATCTCTTCAGTTTACTCAAGTTTCTGTGTTTGTGTTAATTATAAAGGTCGAATGAATCAGTGTGCCCACTACACTGGTTGACTTGGACGAAGACTTAGAAGAAGACTTGGAAAAATGGCCTCGAAAAAGGGTTAGGGGTAAGCCATTCCTACTCAGCTTCCACAGATATCATCACAGCAAGACTTTTAAATGCATGGCCCTTGAATATGCTGTTAATGGGCCCTACGTCTCATCCTTTTCCTCCGTCTCGAGTTTAATTCACGGCAAAAAACTGCAGCACAACTCTGAGTTTAATACACGGCAACAACCTCATTTAACTATATTTACCACTAATGATTTTAAAAATATCCTAGTCTTCATCAGGGTCATAAACTATAATTGCAATTTTTGTTCTTTCTTTTATTTATGGAGCAATCACCAGGCATTATCTGTACAGTGTTGTTTCCAGGGAAAATGGCGTTTAATGGCCAAAAGATTGAATTAGGTTTAAACAAGGACCAAGATTTGGAAATTCAAAATAAAGACAAAAGATCTTTCCATCAATTGGTGTACAAATTTGCTACTATCATTCCATGATTTGATAGAATTAGTGAGATTCATTAATTTGTGAAGGAAATTAAAGTCATGATATATTTGATAAGATTTTTTTTTCTTGAAACTTAACAAATCTTATTTGCAAATCTTGAAACGAGGGTTACAAAGTTTTAAATTTATTCATTAAAGCAACTTTAGTTCTCATTTAAAATTTTTAAATCATCCTTTTTTTATCTTTATTTAAGTCAATGTTGTATTCATTTTAACGTAATTTTCACTTGTTTTGCGTGTCTATATTTATTCAATATGAATGGTCCAATACGTTATGGAATTGATTTAATTTGATTGGATAATTGGAGTCAAATGAGGAAAAGAAGACAATTATAAGGAGAAAAAAAGACGCTTTTGATGTTGATGGGGCTGTGCACTTGTGGATGTGATTCTGAATTTCTCATCGTTCACTTTCCGCTACTAGTTTGTAGTGTAGCCTTTTACAGGATTCAAAACGCGTATTGATCCTTTGTGTACACATTCCCTTCCTTCAACGTTCGGATTGTCATTTCTGTGGCCCTTCTTCCTCTCCCTTCTACCTTCATATTCTATTCTCTTCCTGTTTTCGTATCTTCATTTTCATAATTTAGATTTTAGCACCAAAATATGGCCATTCCCCCCCCCCTTTGACTGTTTCTTTCAGCTTTGTGCACCCCATTTCACAAGATTTTTACAGGAAAATAAGTTGGTCCTGAGTGCTTACCAAAATTCAAAAAGTATTTATAGAGATACTTACAAATCACCTATTAATAAGGTCCTTATATGGACAGTAAAATTTGATTCAATAATCTTGTAAATTGTTGGATCAAATTTCTATCAACTAAATCAATATTTGTTAATTAATTTTTATTTTACAAGATATTTAATGTTACATAAAAATCTTTTATTCATAGGTTTCATGCATTGGATTGCAGGGAATCTTAAAAAATCCTTATCATTTATGACTGATGTGATTTGTTAGTATTTTAATCTCCTATTTTGTTATATAAATAAATATAATGTCATTAGCTTCTTTTATTCACAAGAAACAATGACATAGTCTTCTTAGAGGACAAAATAGTTTCATTATGCACGATGCACAGTGGCAGAGTCAAGATTCCTAAATGAGGGTACAAAATCTGAAAACTCAAGGATAATGACTGTAAAAGATTAAAATTTAAGAGTAACTATAATTAAAAATTTCAAGAGTATGAATGTAAAAATATTAAATCACATATATACTAAATTTATAATTTTCTCAAAGTGATGAGTGCATTTGCCTCCCTCACCATCATGTGGCTCTGCCATTGATTATGAATTGTATACATAAAATTTGGTGTATATCTAACAAAATATATTAACTTTTGGAACAATACAATTTGGTGATCATATAAGGGGATCTTTCGATACGTGTGTATCATTGGAATGAGATGAAAGTAGTCTTAGACTTCTATGTATATATAGCCAGAATCAAGATACTTCAAAATATAGAGTAGACCTCATTTCAAAGGAAGGTACTTAAATTAAAGAAATTAGTTGTAACTTGTGAATTAAGAAACATGGACAGTAGCATGTATACATAAATTTTATAATATCTTCATGTTTAATATGAATATTTATCACACTGATTCTTGCGGATCACATGAATGCTTCTTAACTTGAAAGTTTAAGAAGTAAAATGCAGCAATACATCAAAGCAGCAAGACATGGACCATGAATAACAAACAAGCCTAAGATGAAACACTGAACAATTTTGCCTCATCAACTTCTTTGTTTCTCCATTTCTCAATTATGTTGTTGGTGAAGATGGTGACTTGAACAACTTTGCTTGATCAAAGCTTATTGAAGTAACAGTGGGTTGTGCATGAATATCTGCTTTATTAATCCTCGAAATTACACCACTATGACCTCCTTTTCCTGCACTCTCACCTTCTTCTCTCCCACACTCAATTTTCTTCAAAACCTCCAAAACCTCATCAATGGAAGGCCTCATCTCATTATTTATTTGCAAACATTGAAATGCCAATTCACCTACTGCAGCCACCTTCCTTTTCACTTCACTATCTTTCTCAATCCCTAAAAAGGATCCACCAAATCCTCAAATTCATTTCTTTGAATTTTCCTCATTGCTAGATTTGCCAATGTAATCTCATCTTTGCTCCTTCCCATATCAACTGCCGGCATTGAAGATATCAACTCCATGAGCACAACTCCAAAACTATACACATCACTTTTACTTGTTAACCTGAAGCAAAAGTGATACTCTGGATCAAGATAACCTGGTGTTCCTTGTGGAGCCGTAGAAACATGCGAGACATTGTTAGGGAATAATCTAGAAAGTCCAAAATCTGCAACCTTGACACAAAAATTATTGTCAAGGAGAATGTTGTTGGTTTTGATGTCACGGTGTATGATGCCGGAGGCATGAAGGTAAGCTAGTGCTGTTGCTGTTTCAATGGCAACTTTGATACGTACGGGCCATGTCAGTAAAGCAAGTTTTGCAGATTGACCAAAGAGGTGGCTAGCTAGTGTGCCATTTGGGATGTATTCATAGACAAGGAGGAGCTCATGGCTTTGACGTGAAGTACAACCATACAGGGAGACAAGGTTTTTGTGACGCAAACGAGTGAGAATCTCAACTTCTGTCATAAATTGTTCCACTTGCTTGTAGCTATGGTTGAATAGGTGTTTCACTGCAACTTCACGCCCATCTTGAAGCTTTCCTGTAAATAAATGAAAAAGCTTAAAGCTGGAAACTTTATGATGGAAAACACAAGATTATTGAAAAAAAAAAGTGAGAGTGATGGAAAAGATCAGATGACCATAGTAAACAGAGCCAAAACCTCCATCTCCAAGTTTGTTGGAGGGATTGAAGTTGTTGGTTGCATCTTCAAGCTCCATGTAGGAGAAGATAGGAACTCCAAAAAAGAGTCTGCCATTGTCAGGATCTTGTTCATTTTGGGGGTGATTTGCTGATCGGAGTCGTACATGTTTTGGTTTCCGTTTGCAGTGTTGGAAAAAGAAGAACGCCAACGCTAATACCAAGATCCCAAAACAACCTAATATATGCAGTAAAACAGGATTTTAAATAATTATGTTGGAAAACAAATAGCTGAAAAAGAAAAAAGAAAATGCAAATATGAAGTAAATTACCTATGATCAACCCCAGCATCAAAGCCCGTCTTTTTGCCTGATCTTCTAGCGCAGTTATGAGGAGCAAATTTTGGTGTTCATTAGATTAGATCAGTAAGAAAACTAAATATGTAGAGCTACGCTAATGTTTATAGTATAGTATAGTATATGCATACCTTTGGATTTGAAACAATAAAATGCTCTTTTGTCATCGAGGAGGCACATGCCTCTATTGTCATAGGAACACCGAAAACAGTCATCAGAAAGTTGAATTTGAACAGGGAATTCAGAAGCTAGGAATGTGAATGGATCCCCAGAAAAAGCAAGCATATTCGCTGGAAGCTGAACGCTTTTACATCTTGCTAAAGAATGTGGAGGATCATCATTTTGAGCTTGGAAATAAATGATCTTATTCGTACTGTTAACGCATCCTGTATAGCTCAAGAATTGCCTTGAAAGGCTCATGTTGTCCTTACTCTTACATTTGTACAGGGTTATATTTGAACGGATTAGGAAATAACCCAAGGGTGAGGAAGGAGGATTAGCAATATTGTAGCGGAAGGCATCACAACTACCTTTTTCCAGAAGTTTTTGGAAAGCTGCGTCTTTGACGAAAACAGAAGGACGAGGAAATTTGTCTATACGACTCACTTGAAATGTCTTTCCACTAAAGTACACAGTTTTAGTTTTGTTGGGATTATGGTCTTCACAACCATCAATCGCCAACATTCCACACTTCTTGTGTTTTGAAGTGGTGAAAGGGAAACTGAGAATGCCCAGATTTCCACAGTCAAAAGAAGATGGACATTCTTCAGAAGCAGAAGAGAACGAAAACAAGAAGAAGAAGAAGAAGAAGAAGAAGAAGAAGAAGGCGACCAACACATGAACAGGTAGAACCATTCTTCTGAAACGCTCACGCGTAGAGAAATTAACTGTTTCAACTTTCAAGTGATTACTTACCTGAAGGCTTTATCTTGTTGGAGAGTCAGGCGTGTCAATTTGTTCTGTGGAACACGCTAGTCGAAGTCTGTACACGTTAGACCTGGCGTTTTGACTTTTGACCAATTACGTCTTGGTGCTTGGCAATTAATTCATCGAGAAATGCCTAGGTGGATTGAGTGAACGTGATATGTTTAATTAAAATATTTTAAATAATTTAAATAAAATTTTGTATGGTATTTTTTAAGTTGATTTTATTTTTATAATAGAATATGCATTTAATTTTTTACTTTTTTTCTCAATTATCATTAATATTATAATTAATTTATATTTAATACAATCTAAATATTATATTTTTATTAGATAAATTATAAATGATGTGATGCATTCAATTTATTTAAGTATTTTTCCTCACTAATGATCACCACACCGTTTCTTATTTAAAAAAAAAAATCTGGGCCATCCAAATTTAACCTAAATGGTCCAAATCTTTTTAATCTACATTTTATTTTTATTTTATGTTTAATAAAATCAAAATTTATAAATTTTTTTAATAAATATCTTTGTCACTTATCTAGATAGCACATATTTAATCTATATGATTTAATTTAATATTAAATTATTTTTATAATTTTTATAAATTAATTATCTAAATGTACTTTAGATAGTGTATGTTTAATATCAATTTTTTAATTTTTATTTTGATAAATAAAATATTAACAATAAGGATACTTCCTAATGTGCACTTTTTTTAAAAAAATATTTTTTAAAAGATTATAAGTTAAAAATTTTAAATATGGACTATTCAGAGTAAATTTAAATAGTTAATTTAAAAAAATTATTAAAATTTTCATATTAAATTAGACCATTCAGATTAAATCAATTCAAATTGATGATAAATATATTTATATAATTTTTTTACAAATTTTATAATTTTTTATTTTAATAAATAAAAATAAAAATAAAAATTCTAAAAATGAATGTGCTGATCTATTATACTCATGACTCATGAGCACCCAAGTTGAACACAATTTAATTCTAGCCAGTAAATGATCATGTTCCTAGTTGTCAATAATGTCTTTTTTGGCCCAAAAGCTGTCAATAATGTCGAATAAATACTAGCCATAAAAATATGATAATTTCAATTGTTGAATAAGTATACAAAAATATGGACAATTGAATGAATTGATTCACTGGTCCATATAATTTATTCTAATTTTGAACCAGGTCCTTATAATTTCTTTTGCTTCAAGTGGCCCCTTATATTTTTTAACTGTTAATAGCATTAATCCCTCCCGTCTTAATTAAATTCCTGATTCATCATCTAACATCATTAGTTAAGTTGACGTGGCATCTATATTGTTGCGATGTTGCTTACCTTTCTTGGGCTGTCGCAAACCACGGAGGAAAGAAGACGGCCCTGAAGGAATAGTCTTTCATCACCTCACTGATGAACATTTCATAACTTCGCAAAGTTGGCTTCTTCTGCAAATAGGACTAAATAAATTGAAAAGGACAAAGTTGCGAAATGAAAAGGTCGAGGAGGGTATTTTTGGTTAATGAAATTTTCTTTGTTAAAGACAACAAAAATGTTTCACATAGCATAAGAAAATATCATAGGTTCACGCTTACTTGTCTATTTCTTTCGTGTGCTACTTACTGTGGCAGATGAAAGCATGTAAGGTTGGTAATGGATGATCTAATTAATTTATTGAATTGGTTATCTCAATGGGATCCATTCATGGCTTTACGTGTGCATTAATAAGTGTGAACCAATGAGTGAACATGCAATGCTATTTTTGCTTCCCAAGTGGTACCTGAAATCAATTACTGCAGCTAATCTTAAATTTGTCGAAGTTATGTTTCAATTCTATTTTATCATTCTACTATATTCTCATTGTTTTTATCTTATTCTCTTGTGTTCACCTCTGTTTTTTCACCTAAAAACAGAGAAAAATAGAGTATTTCTCTCTGTAAGATACAATAGATATATAAAACAAAGTGGCTGTGGGATATTGGGACATCAATGGTGAAGTTGACTTAGTTAATAAAACTTGCAAATAGAGCATCGTTGAAGAATAATGAGACAATTAATGTGAACTCCATTCATTAGCTTCTTCTTGCAGTAAGCCAAATATGGAAAGAGAGTAGATAGCTATTCATTCTTACCAGTGTCTAGAATTCTTTTTTGCTCCTCAGCCTCCAAATTGAGAAGGCAACATAGATTTGAACGAGCAGAGAATAGATAGGACACAACAGAGAGTGAACACTGCTAGTCTGCTACCTTTTTAATGCTCACAGTCTCCATTTTCAACAGCAAAATCAAAACAATCAATAAACAGGAAGACAAGATAAGTTGGAAACTCACAAATGACACAGAGTCCAAAGATTCATGTGTTAGATAATTTGTTAGGGCTTTAACACCGAAGGGATTAACATGTCTAACAATTAAAAGTATAAGGGCCCAATTAAAAAAAGAAAAGAAACTATAAAGACCCGATTCAAAATTGAAGCAAATTATAAGGAGTTTCAAATTAATTTTTCCTAAAAAATATTAAAAAATGTGGGATAAAATTCTTAAGTTTATTCTGCTTGACATTATTTGATGAATGAATTACTCAAATTACAGTTAATTAAACTAGCTGGTACGAATATAAGGTTTGAAAGGGATAGAATAGACTTCCTTTCAAAGCAACATAGTTAAAGATATTAGTTGTAATTTGAGAATTAAGAAACATGGATGGTAGCATGAATACATAACTTTAGTAAGATCATGTTTAATGCAAATTTTCATCACTCTCTAATTCTTGCTGATCACATGCTTCTTAACATGAAAGGTTGAGAAGTAGCATGCAGCGATTCATCAAATGAAGCAGCAAGACATGGGCCATGAATAACAAACAAGCTTAGAGATCAAACGCTAAACAATTTTGCCTGATCAACTTTTCCATTTCTCCATTTCTCAATCATGTTGTTTGGTGAAGATGGTAATTTGAACAACTTCGCCTTATCAAAGTTTATTGAAGTCACTGGTCGTGCTTGTATTTCTGCTTCATTCTTTGAAATTACAGCACCGCCGTCTTCACTGTCTTCCCTTGCATTCTCATCATCTTCTTTACAACTCTCAATTTTCCTCAAAACATCTAAAACCTCATCAATGGATGGCCTCATCTCATTATTTATTTGCAAACATTGAAATGCTAATTCTCCAACGGCAACCACCTTCTTCTTCACCTCACTATCCTTTTCAATCCTCAGACATGGATCTACGAGCTCCTCAAATTCACTTCTCTGAATCTTTCTCATTGCTAGATTTGCCAATGTAATCTCATCTTTATTCCGTCCCATATCAACTGCCGGCATTAAAGATATCAATTCCATGAGCACAACCCCAAAGCTATACACATCGCTTTTATTTGTTAGCCTAAAGCAAAAGTGATACTCTGGATCAAGATAACCTGGTGTTCCTTGAGGAGCTGTAGAAACATGCGATACATCATCAGGAAACAACCTAGAAAGTCCAAAATCAGCAACCTTAACACAAAAATTGTTGTCAAGGAGAATGTTGTTGGTTTTGACATCACGATGGATGATGCCGGAAGCATGAAGGTAAGCTAGAGCACTTGCAGTTTCTATGGCAATTTTGATACGTGTAGGCCAAGTCAACAATGTAGGATTTGCAGAGTGACCACGAAGGTGACTGGCTAGGGTGCCATTTGGAATGTATTCATAGACAAGGAGGAGCTCATGGCTTTGACGTGAAGTGCAGCCATAGAGGGACACAAGATTCTTGTGACGCAAACGAGTGAGAATCTCAACTTCAGTCATGAACTGTTCTACTCGCTTATAGTTGTGATGGAATAGATGTTTCACTGCAACTTCACGCTCATCTTGAAGCTTCCCTATAAATGAAATAGCTTTGAAGTTTGACAGATTATAAAGGAAAGCACAAGATTACAAGAAATGAGAAGAGAGTGATAGAGAAGATGACCATAGTAAACAGAGCCAAAGCCACCATCTCCAAGTTTGTTGGAGGGATCAAAATTGTTGGTTGCATCTTGAAGTTCTTTGTAGGAGAAGATTGGAACTCCAAGGAAGAGTCTTCCACTATCTGGATCTGGTTCATTCCGGTGTTGATTTATTGATCGGAGTCGAACATGGGACAGAGCATTTTTCTGCCTCTGTTTGCAGCCTCGGAAGATGATCGCCAATGTTAGTACAAGGATCCCTAATCCCACTCCAAAACCTGTCCAAGCTTCAAGTACTAATTAAAACTCTTCCTTTTGAGAAAGGCAATGTTTACTTAATTTTTTTCACACAAGGATTCTCGTTATTGTGTCTGGGGAACCTCATAATTTATACAGGATTACAACTTCATAACAACCTATAATCATATATACAGGGTCCAAAAAATGATTATACTGCCAAGCAGAGAGCTGAAAACGAATAACAATGAAGCAAAATTACCAATAAGCAATCGCAGCTTCAAAGCCCGCCTTTTATCTGCCATCACTGTTATGGAAATAAGCAAAGTTGATAGTTAATAGGCAAATGAAGTATGAATAGCTAGCCATCTGAGAAATTTTCATTTTTTTCAGGTTGTGGCACATACCTTTGGATCTGGAACAGAAAAATTCTCCCGTGCCATTGACTCGACATAAGCCTCCTCCATCAAGACACCGTTGACAGTCATTAGAAAGTTGAATATAAACGACGAATTCAGGAGTTATGAATTTAAATGGATCCCCAGATAGAAAAATAGCAGGGCTCGCTGGGAGCCTAACCCTTGGACATGCTGCCAAAGAAGGTGAAGGATCATCTTGATCTTGAGTTCTGAAGTAGATCGTCTCATTCCTACTCTTGGCACATCCTTTGTAGTTCAGAAATTGCTTTGGAGGACTAACTTGAAGGTTACTATTATTACATCTGTATAGGGTTATAGTTAGGAAGATCTGAAATTGGCCCATAGGTGAGCTGGGAGGAAGAGTGATATTGCAGCAGAAGGCATCACAGCTATTATTTTCCAAACGCCTTTGTAAATCTGTGTCTCTGACATAAACAATTTTATGAAAGCTGTTTATATACGTCACTGGAAACTTCTGTTTTCCACTGAAGAAGTACACAGTTTTTGTAGAGTTAAAGTCTTCACAACCATGAATCGCCAACATTCCACAGTCTTTGTGTTCTGCGGTGGTGAAAGGGAACCAAAACTCGCCCAGATTTCCACAGTAAAAGGAACGTGGGCACTCCGAAGAAGCAGAAGACAGAGAAAGCACATGGTAAAGAAACAAGAAGAAGAAGAAGAAGACGACATGAACTGGTAGAACCATTCTTCTGAAATCCTCACTCAGAGAACAAAAACTGAAGTTGTCGGTGTCTCAAAGACTGTTTCGAGTAATAACTTAGTTGAAATTTTTTTTATGGTTTTGTTATGATGGGAACACTGGCATCGAAGGTCAGGCTTTCATGCAGACAGTTCACTTGGAAGTTGGAAGGAATGTAAGACTATTGACCAAGACTAAGGAGGTGGACGAGACGCGTTTATCTTAACAAATTAAAACTATGTGGCTCATAATTGGCTCCTAATAAATTAATACTAATGTTAGGTCCATTAGGTGACGGGTGATACTTTATTCAAACCTTTCTTCGTTTTTTTTCGGTTGTGTGTGGATGGAATCCTTTTCTTTTTACAAAAATGACACAAAATACCTCCCAAATAGTTAAATGACGACAAAGTATCATGAAATAGAGTAATTTTTATGAAGTCTCAAGAGAGCTTGAAATTATGGGGCCGTTTAAAATTATTTTTATTTTATTATTTGAAAACTGATATTTTATAAAATATATTTTTGAAAATAAAAAATAATAAAAATATATGTTTTTTTTATTCTCTCTTATTTTTCAAAACTATAATTTCAAAATATTTAAAAGTTTTTAATTTTTTTATTCTTTAAAATAATATTTTATTTTTTTATTTTTTAAAATACTTATTAAAATTACATTATTAAATAAATTTTTTTATTTTTTTATTTTGAAGAACAGAAAATTATTTTCAAAACATGTTGATAAACAGGCCCTGTATCATTTTGCAAAATGACTTTTTTGACCATCTGAACAGGGAAAAGGAAGCAATGTTTGAGACGGGCCGAGTTGACTGTGTAAGCCTGTTCATCTCCTGTCTTGATGATTCCCTCCAGAAACACAATGTTTTTGACAAAAATTACAGGACCCAAACATTTATAACTTTTTCGGAATACAGACTTTTGTAATTTTTAATTTAAACATTAAAATTTTTTTAATATCAAAATCAATTCGCATCAAATTTTTAGATACGAAGGAGGACCTCTCTATGTCATACGTCGTGGTGCATGGTCATTTTCTACAGATATTAGTCGCTAAAATGGGATGGAAATAGAGAGAAAGAAAAGAGAGAATAGAAGAGACGCACCAAGCTTTACTAGGGTTTGCTTGTGGATGACATTGGGAGTATTTTGGAGGCTACAAACACCCAAAGTAAGTATCACACTCATTAATCTTCCCATTTCTTCCATATTTATGAGTTTATAGTTAGGGTTTGATAATGAAAGTGAATTTTCAGTCATATGAGTTATGGGTTTGAATTTATTAACTTAAATGGAGTTAATGGGAGTAGATTATAGTATCTAAACCTAGTATAATGAATTTTTAGTGTCTTGGATTGTTGGGCACCATTGATATCAAAAAATCTCATTTATTATGGGTAGTTGAAAGATTGTGATGCCATTAATGAGAATTTAATGGTTCATTAATGTTATTGGAGACTAAAGGTAATCAACAAACCTAAGGGATATGCTCAAATTCTTGTGAAGTGAATGTTAGGCAATTTAAAAGTGGAGATTGAGGGTTTAATGCTTGAGATGGCAATGTTGATGAAATTCAACTTGGTTGATTATAGTGTTTGGCTCTTAGTCACCTATTGGATTAGAAAAATTCAAGCTTGAAAGCTAGTAAGTTGAGGGATAAACCTTTGACCTCTCAAAGATTTGAGGTAGCTGGGGGGGGAACTCTACTTTGGGTAGTTATATATTAATTGCATGTAAATTGATTTCTATTGTGAATGTGACATGCATGAGTTGATTTTCAATGTGAAAAGCATGGGTTAGTTTTGATAAGTATATGAAAAAAATTGAATGTGCATAAAGGTATTGTGGCTTGAAATGCAAATTCTTAATTAAGATGTTTTTGAATATGAACACGAATATATCTTTAGAAAGATGAATGTGATGATGTGTTGTCAATGAGTGGTGATCAATTGATTTGATAAAGATCAGCAATTATGATTGAAAAATAGGTGTAAGTGTTATAAGTGAAAGATAAGAAATTGATGTGCACTTGGGTAGTACACGGATGTGAGCCTAACGTGAATGTGAGGATAGCAAGTAAATGAAAATGAAAATGTGAAAATGAATGAGTATTGATTATGTCATGATCAGTGGTGAGAGTTTGCCTAGGGATTGAGAGTAAAGAAAATCTATATGGTAATTAGGCTGTCTTCTGGTACACGGGGGTATAGCCTTATCCCACAGTTTATCGAGAGACTGTCTTATAGTTTGTTGAGAGCCTAAAATTTAGCTATCTCCACCAGTTCAATGAGGAGAATACTCTAGGGTATTAAAAACCCTAGAGATTTGAGAATGGAGGAATGTAACACACCAAATTTTTTTTAAAATAATTTAACTCAACCATAGTTGGATTACAACCACCCAACACATTCTTATATCAATAATTTTAATATAAAATATTTTATAATTGGCTTCAACTCACACACTATAACATTTCAGATAATTTTTACCTCCTACATGCCATTAGGCTAAATCACATTTGTCCATCCTTATACTCCCAACAAGTAAACTAAATCACATTTGTCCATCCTTATATTCCCAATAAGTAAAATAAGCAATTTAGTCAATTTTCAACACAAGCCAGTTATTTGGCCTTATAATCATGCCATTTTAACTAATCCAAAGTAAACCAAATATTAAAATTACAGTCATCCAAATTGTACTAAAAATAGAAATAGTTTGAAAGGCATGATTACATTTATATATTCATATAATTGACAATAAACAAAAAGCCCTAATATTGGCAATATAACACATTATAAATCATAAATTAAATACCCAAAATAGACAGTGGATCTATACCACTAAGCCTCTGGGACTCCTCCACGTGTCACTCGTGGCTCTTCTCCTGAAAATTGTTAACCACATAATGAGATTCAAAAGTGCCAGTAACCAAAGCCAATTTATGATAGTATATACAAACAGTTAAGTATGTGCTTACTAAGTGAGAATTAAAAATAACATAATTCCAACAAATATAAGAAATATTAAAATACACACAAACAACCATCCTTATATCCCTCTATTAATCTCGAGCCGTAACCCTCACTCGGTGCTAAATTACCCGGCCAAAGGTAGATTAGCTCGAGCCCTTACAAGTCACATATTGAGCTCCAATAGGGGCGTATCACATGGCACATAAATACAACAATAATAGCAAGTCTCCCAACACCTCCCACAATAATTAAACAAATTCATAATAATATTGCACAATTATACAATATTACAAAATTCATATTTTTCTCAATAATCACCCAATTAACATGAAGTAACACTAATCACAAATTAAAAGCATGGTTACCTTGTGGCTTTTTCAATAAATTATTCTTTAAAATTTCTCTCTCACCACAATCTTCACCAGTAATACAATCTACAAATAACATATTATTTATAAATATTAGTTTCAATTTTTGAAACTAATAAAATAATTCTAATAATAGAATTAAAAATATAACATAATTCCTAATCTCAATCTTAATACAAATCTATAGTTAATACTATTAAGTAAAATTTTTAACTCCTCTTTTAATTATCAATAAACATTAATAATTTAAAAATCAACTTCTAAACTAATTTCTATTATTAAAATTTTCTTTTTATTTCATAAATTTATACCTAAAATACCCAAAAATTAAAAATTGAGTCTCTAGCTTAGAATCATAATCCTATAACCATAATAATTAATTTCTCATCCCAAATAATCATCTAAACCTCAATAAATCAACATATATTTTCAGATCTAGTTTAGAATTTGATCCATAAGCCACAAATTCAAAGATCATCAACAAATTTATGCTCTAGAACATTTATTATACTACTGACAACCTCAAAAATCATATTTATTCAACATAAATTCATCCCTCTTCCAAATCTTAAATTTTCTACCACTACAAACTCAGAAACCAAAGAAGAAGGATGACTAAGAAAAATTTTTAGAACACTTACTTAGCCTTGAAAAGCTTAAAATCACACCTTAAATATCCTATTAAAAACTCTTACCTTAAAAATTTAGATATTTCGCACCGGCGATTCGCGTTCTCTCTGCCTCAGCGCGCACGAAGGAATGAATGAAGAAATGAAGGAACAGGTGAGTTTTTATAAAAATTCAGTGGGTCCCACACATTTTTTTTTTATTTCTTCTTTTCTCTCTCTCCTTTTTTTTATTATTATTATATACATAATGATTGTTGTGCGGCGGCCGAAAGCAATTTTGTTCTTCTTCTTCTTCCCCCCTTTTTTTTAATACCTTTTTCCTTTTTTTATTATAATAATAATTTAATAATATTTTTTTTATTTTTTAATTATTTTTTTAATTTTTTTAAATTTTTTTAGAATTATATCCTAAGTTAGATTTAATAATCATCTTTTACTAATTTTCTTACCTCTAAATATTATTTTTTTTAAATTTCTATTAACCCAAATTAACTATTAAAATTTAAATTGGGATGTTACAAGGAAGCTGTGGTCTGAGAGTGAGTCATATGATCTTTGATCGGGTCACACCTTACGATTGGTGAGCTTAGGTAGTCTTGTCACACAGACGGAGATCTATTTAGTGTGATAGCCCATGATTTTAGTTTGAAAAAATAAAGAGGATATAAGGTTGGTTGATCATTGCCTAGATAAGTATATGATGTGACACACGTGTGAGTTGTGGCAAGTCATGTGAATAATGGGTTATGGTCACATATATGAGAATGTGGTGACAATGCACCTAATATATATAAGATTAAAAAGCTATTAAATGAGAAATGATGAGTTATGATATGTATGAGTATTTTTTAAGTTTTTGGTTTCATATGTATGTGCTTGCCTTAAAATTGATATATAACTGCATAGGGTAGGTTTAACCTTAGTTACTGAATGGCTAAACTCACCCCTTTCATTTAACACTTTTCAGGCTCTAGCTATGGTGCAGAAAGGGAGAAGGCTCAAAAGGCTAGGAATTAGCATATTCCTTTTATATGCCTTGAGCGTAGATTTATTTTGTGTAATAGTATATATTTTTCAATTCTAGGATGTATGCCATCACACTTATACTATTTTGTTATTGCAAATGTTCAATTTGTATTTTGGGCCCTGAATA